GGAAATATAAAAAACTTTACAAACGATGAAATATAGTACAGTAGCTTCTTCGGGTGAGATACTAAAATATACGATGTACCAGATTAACTCGAAAGGGTTGATAGAAAGTGAAGACCACAGAGGAACAAGGGGGAATGTCACAATATTCGCGGGAATCGATGTTACCAGGTGGCGCTCGGTTTTCATCGTTCCATGTCCAAGCCACGTCAAAACTGGGGAAAAACAAACCCAATCCTCACTCAATCCCATTAATGCCATTAGCTTGTGTAGGTACTGTGTACTGATAAGAGTGATAAGTTTCTGAATTTCTTGACATCAATTGTCAATATTCGATTGAGAACGCTATAAAAAAGCCTGTTGTAGATGTTCATTTGGCAGATATTTTTCTCTATTCAGACGGAGAAAGCCGACCAGTAGTGGAAGGACAAGCAGTTCTCCGTGCTAATCATGTGATTTCGTGTGAGGCAGAAGACTTTAACAAAAGGCACATTTTTGCACTTCATCTACAAACTTCGGCGATGAAATGTTCCCCACATGAAGTAAAATTGAAGTTGGGGTCCAGAGGAACTCCTGTAGAACAATGGATTTGTATTTGTTCATGCAGAGCAGGACAATCTGGGTATTGTAAACATGTTGTAGCTGTTCTATATGTCAATTTTTTCGCTCGTTATAATTAGTTTGAATCGTTTGAACTGTCTCCAATTCTTCACCCGTTCACTGTTCACTAAACTAATAAAAATGTAATAATGTAACAAAACTAATCAATTCAACCATCATCACTACCACGTGCCAACACTTTATGTCATTGACAAGTTTGACAACAGCTACAGCAAGCTGAATGCAATGTAGTCTATGCACTTTATCCAGACGTTTTCCCTCAGTTTGAAGTTCGTATCCTAGATGTCGCCCGCTTCGTGAATCTCGCAAATAGTGGACATTGACTTGACACCGCCATCTGATGGCCTAACCACTATATCTTAGTATCAACAGAAGTCCATAGCAATAACGCAGCATAGTCAGCTAATATGCTCGTTCAGATGGAAAAAAAGCGGATAGTCCACTTCAAAAATGTGAAGAAAGGAGAACGTCCAAGCTTAGTGCTTGCTTGAATGCAGATTCCATTGTCATTTTAATAAGTTGTTTTCACACTGTCAAAAGGTCAAACAAAAGATGAGGAAAAAAAAGAGATACGGCAACCTTTTTTCCATCTCTTGGAGCGTACGAGAGAGAAACCCTATAATGTTCGATGAACTAGATTAGGTAGTCAGGCAAGAATGGAGAAATGTACCAGAGCAGATAATTCTGAGTAAACAATCCAGTTTTCTCACAATTTATTTGGACATTCCCAATTTTTCTCTCAAATCTTTGGACTCATTTTTTGTTTTCGCTGATTCTTCCATTCAAATATGATTTTCATTTCTAGCTGTTCAACTTCATTGCTCATCATACCCCATCTAATGAATCCAGTTTCCTTCAACATCCAAAGAGTAAGGAGGTTTTAAACTTTGAAATGCGTTTTTCTCGAAACTTATTACTTTTTGTGACATTCTCCTTTTTCCTTGTGGTCTTCAAATACATATTATTATCTACTTAGAAAACAAATTCTATAGCGTTGAATTACTGAGGTCATGTTAATCATTAAGTAAAATGTTAGAATTTTCGCGTTTGTTGATTTCTAATGATTCCAAATGATTTAGTTCTATTCATTCATTTCCTATGTGTAGAATTTCGGAATTATTTCATCAAAACTATGATTTCATTCCAATATATGGTTAGCGTTTGTTGAATTTGTTTTCTTTTTCAATAAATTGATGTTATAAAACGTTCGACCTGTATGACCGATATATCCTTATGACAGTCTTTATTATATGAAACAAAAAAACGTTCATTGCCCAAACAGGTATTACACCCAATTACAGGACAAGCAACATAATCACACAGCAAACTTAGTACTAGAATAAATAGTGAGTTACAATCGTTTGTATAAAAAGTCCCAGCAACTTCATTTTTTCAAAAGGATCAACTTTATTATTGCAATTTTAGATTCTGCTTGAAGAGCAGATTTCATTGATATATCACAATCAAGGTCTAGCGGGAATCATAACAGGGATATATAGGGAGTACAAAATGGAGACTCTTCAACTTCAGGATTTTTTGTGTCGGTACTATTTATTATTGATGAAAACAGTTCACATGTCCCTATCTCAACTTCTGATTTACTGTCTTTGAGGTGGTTCTAGTTTCAGAATTCTGGTCCAAATCAAGAATTTTCCAATTCCTGCATTTTTATCGATATATCGGTAAATTTGCCCACCCCACCTGTCCATCATGTTGTTATCTTTTTTTTCTTGTTGATATGGATTGGAGTTGCTTTTGATTAAACCAAAAATCGACATAATTCATACACATGAAAATTCAAGAATCATCGCTATGAGAAACAGTACGATATTTACGTAGGAACTTTTAGAGAATCAAGAATTCATGATCAAATGATAATTCCGCCATTGACGTAGAATTTGGGAAGGATCAACCAGTTACTATTCCCTGTCGTACGCCTCTGGTAGCAGGAAAAAATCTCGCCAAAATAGTACATTATACATCAAGGGACAGAAATGCCAGATTTTTTCCAAGGTGCGATACAAAGCACCGAGAGAAAAATAGCATTCTGATGTCCTGAGGTGTATATACAATTTTTTACGCTGGCAAAAACACAAGAATTCAGAAAGAATATGGCAGTCTGTGGCGGTCCGATCTCACTGTGCCCAACATAAGCTTGTCAGGAGTAACCATACCTTTGAAGACATCCATTTCGATGCTTGGTATAACTATCAGCAATAACCTTTCTTGGGAAAATCACGTGAAATCAATTGCTAAGAGTGCATCCCAAAAACTTGTTTTTTTGTTCCGGGCCAGGAGCTATTCCACTTCCAGTCAGCTGCTTATGATCTATTAGGCACAGATCCCGACCTGTCCTGGAATAATGTTTCCATATTTGGAGTGCAGCTCCTAAACATACCCTGAAACTGTTGGATTCTGTCCAAAAGAGGGCAATTCGTCTCGTGAGTGTTGCCTCGCTCACAAACTTACTCACTTCTCTGGAACACCGCAGGAAAGTTGGCGATCTGGCTCTATTTTATAGATATTTTCATGGACGATGCTCTTCTGAAATATCAACAATTGTTCCTCCCTTGGCAGTCTCCGCGAGATTAACCCGTCGAGTTGAGGCTTCTCACCCCTTCGTGGTCACTTTGGAGATCTGCAGAATATATGCATATAACCTCCAGAAATTCAAGAAGAACACCAATTTCTACCTTATTTCCCTTGGTTCTCACGATGTTCTCAGAACATTACAGGCTATCCAATTTCGTGGGAACCAGAAAAATGATATAGCAGTCCCGTGGCAGCCTGTGTACACGATTTTGCTCAGTGATTCACCCCTCGATACTACAGGTTATTCCAATTCTACAGGGTGAGAAAAAAGCATATAAAGTTAGGCAAGCCAATGTAAGTTTAGTTCATTGAAGAAGCTATACTGTGTTAGCGAAACATGTCGTGTGATAAGGAATTTTGTGGAAGTCTTATCGTTTGGGAAGTTTTTGACATTCATATTTGTTCACCTCGAATTCTCGCAGCAGATAGTTTGCTTCAATTTTAATTGGCTCATGTTTGAACATATACACAATCAGCAGTATTTCACTGTGATTTTAACTAGAAAACCATCAATCTTCCAGCTTTTCAATCATTGTGTCGTTCTCAAGTCGATTAGTTCCAGTTGGTACTACAAGTGCTGATGAGGTGGCAAACCTTGACGAACCAATAAAATTCAAACTGATTTTCAGTTGTCCAAAACATTTCTGATGGTGAGATAATTTTCAAATCGTTCTTTGAATGTGCCATATTGTATCTTCTGCTGGTTGAAATTGTCGAAGATACAATTTGACATTCCAATTATTATAATTTTGATGAAGCCAGCTGATTTTTCTACAGCTATAACACAAAATTGCTCTTGTTATACGACGCTATACCTATACAGGGTGGGCCACCAGTAACGCCTCGGTCTCTAGAAGGCTAACCACTTATCTTCTTGGAATTCTTCCTTTCTAGGAAGTTGCATGTCAACATAGGCTACCATTTGAAATTATTTTGAAACATACAGAATGTCCCCAAAAATCACAAAACACTGAAGTTGAACTTTTTTCAATCGAACACCCTATATATTATTTCATTTTGAGATTCTCCCTGGTGAGCTGATTTCAACAATCCATCATACTTGGGGTCTAGCAGTTATAATTACTGAGATATAGGGTGTGAGAAATCGAGATTTTCCAAGTTCAAGAATTTTTTGTGTCTAAACCATTCATAATTATTGGTCAAAACGGCTCACATGTCCCTATCTCAACTTTTGATCAACTATCTACTGACATTTAATTGAAACAAATACAGGGTGGTGCAGAATTCAGAATCTTGATCAGGCGCGTTCGACCCTGTATATTCAATTTTGCTTGTGGTGGGGGTGGGACATCTAATACTTGAAATGACCGCGGCGGCAGCACTCACCAATGCCGTTTTGAAGTCATTGAGGAAGCTGCAGGGCTTTTTCATTCAATCATCCATCGTCCAATTCCAATGATTATGGTATCAAATGAAAGATAAAAGTCCAATCTACGTACGTGCTGTAAGGCTTTTTTGAAATTTCCTACCCAAATTTCGAAAATCGGCCTCGAAGTAGCTTGATTTTGGTGGATTGTTTCGAATCATAATGGAAAAAATTTGAGGAAATTCGAAATTCCATTACAGGACGTACGTAGATTTAGGTGTTATCTAATGGCCTGTACTTGTTTCAAATCGATATGTTCAACCGTTTTCGAGAAATATCGAATTTACGTGACCGTGTTATACGTATAAATGCCACTGCGGTGATGGACTCTTAAAGACAAGGCATTTGATTAACAGACACCCAATATTTTGTTCTAGTTCCTTGGATTTGAACGACATAAAGCATGAAATTCTTCCTGGTGGACATTTCTGATAATGTGAAATTTACCCTCACTAAAGATGATATTCGAGTGCAGAGGTATAGATGGGTTACTTTGATCTTATTTTGCTTCCTTACTATTGTCAATCTCATGCAGGTACTACAGTTCACCATAATTGCAAATTTGATAGCAAAGTAAGTAGGCACTTCATGAACTATACTTATATATATTAGTATACAAGGTGACCCTCCGGGAACTGCATCGATCAATATATAGAAAACCATAGGTGGGCCGAAGTTGATAAGTGTTATCCGGCTAAAATATTTTTTAGATTGTGGCACTTTCGGTTGTACCGGAATTGGACCCCAACTTAGTTATTTTAAATGGGACATCCTGTATATTATCAAGGTTTCAGAGTTTGTGCATGGATCTGAACATGTTTTATGTATAATTTCCCATACCCAAGTCTAACTGTTTTCGAAATATTGTAAGTTGAAAACTGCGTTTGCAGACCGAAAAATATTTTTTTCAATTCTGGACATGATCATCAATTTTCGATTGTGTATCGATTCATTCGTAGAAGAGGACCCCTATGGTTTTCTATGTATTGATCGATGCAGTTCCCGGGGGGACACCCTGTATATATTGCTATCTTTATGAATAATGAATATGGTTGTGGTTGCATTTTGTAACGATCGTATATTTTAATATAATTGCTTCACATTCTTAAAATGCTCGTTAAAATAAACAAATCGCTTCAGATATATCTTCCAAAACAAATCCCAAAATGAATCGAACGATGTATAATTCCATTATGCCACTTTTCACTCATAATGCTGACCTTTGCAAGATGTTAAGTATCATTTTTATCCATTTGAGATTCACTTTTGGTACCAATTATCATTGATGATGACCATGTGAATGGTCGAAACATCTCTCAAACCATTCTGAAGCAGGATTACCTGCATATTTTTGCCAATTAATTTTGTTCTTGCAGGCAACATATACTTCGATGTTTATATAACTGTCTATTAAGTAGTTGAAATTGTTATTTTTCTATTGTTCCAGATACTTTGATATCAGTAGTTCTATTGTACATATGACAGGAACAATTTTCTTCATAATATTTATTTTATTATTCCTACCAATTAATTACCTGATCCAAAAATATGTAAGTATTCATCTGTTCTTATATCACATTATACTATTGTAACTATGAGTTTCCAGAGTTTGAGGGTGACAATAATTGTAAGTTCAACTCTCACATTCGCCGGAATTCTGGTGAAACTGTTTTGTTGTGATGCATCGAAATTTTATGTCCTTCTCATTGGCCAAGGGATATGCGCATGCGGACAAGTTTACGTACTGAGTATTCCCTCCAAATTGGCATCGGTATGGTTCGGATCGAACGAATTATCTACCGCTTGTTCCATAGCAGTGATGAGTATACAAGCCGGTAAGAAGACATAACCTTCAAAATATCTGAAATCATTTGTAGGCCCCAATTCAATAATCATAGGCTGTATGTGATTTTTTCGTAGGTGGTTACACTTCTGCGATAGATGATATTCTTTGGCCAGTCTCAGGAACTATATTCTAATTCTTGGGTCATTATCACTATAAAGCAGCAGTGATTGACCGATTGTGTTTCAAAACATGCACAAGATTTAGACAAAATTAAGGATGATAAAAATGCGTCGATATACAGTTTATTAGATTTGTTTCTAATGATCTGAAGTTTATTGGATGATGCACAACACAAAAATCGAAATCTCACTCAAAACGTTCAGGAACGATGATCTTGCAACTATCACGATTCTTTCTTTGATCGGTCTCGAAATGTCCCGAGTCAGTCCGAATTGCGCTACTCAATCAAATGGTATTTTCACTTGGAAAAAACTCAAGTAGTCGGTTCCTTTGTAGTTTTATATGTTTTTGGAGGTGCTGAATTCGAATCTGAATTTTGCAAACAACCTTCCCGGGAGCGTTCCGAGATATTTGCCAAAAACATCAACATTTTCGGACTTTTTACGTTTTTTAGCTCGTAACTCGAAAAATTATACGTTATATCGAAAGTTGAAGTAGATAAAATTTACCAAATATGATTCCCATTGCTCATGAATGTAGGACTAACGAGTGCGGAGCCATCAGTAGAAAATTGACCAAATTACGTACTTTAAAAAAAATAGCGTTTCTCGTCGGTTTTCGCAGATAATTCCAAATCTACGCATTCCTCGAAGAAACGAACAATACTGCCTGATGTGGAAGAGTCCTAGCCATGTGTAATGTCTATCAATTTCTCTTCCAGACCATCTTATACAGGATGGTGATAGCCTGGAGAAAACACGATTTGGTCCACTTGCACCACCATCCCCAGAACCGGGTCCTTCAGGGTACCAGCCCCCTGCCAAACGACGATGTAGTGACGATTAGATTTTAGATTATAGGATCACCCTCATCTGATCAATTGCTTTCTATTCGCGGGAATCAATGTTACTTGGTGGCGCTTGGTTTTCATCGTTCCATGTCAAAGCCACGTCAAAACTGGGGGAAAACAAACTCAATCCTCACTCAATTGATTTAATCTTTACTCTCAATCCCATTAGACTTCAGAGCCATCAGCTTGTTTACTGTGTACTGATAGGAGCGAGAAGTTTTTGAATTTCTTGACATTAATTATCAATATTTGATCGAAAACGCTAATAATGCCTGTTGTAGATGTTCTTTTGGCAGATATTTTGCTTTATTTAGATGGAAAAAGCCGACCAGTAGTGGAAGGAGAAGCAGTTCTCCGTGCTAATCATGTGATTTTATGTGAGGCAGACTTCAACAAAAGGCACATTTTTGCACTTTGTCTACAAACTTCGGCGATGAAATCTTCCCCACATGAAGTGAAATTGAAGTTGGGGTCCAAAGGAACTCCTGTATAGAACAATCGATTTGTATTTGTTCATGCAAAGCAGGACAATCTGGGTATTGTGAACATGTCGTAGTTGTTCTTTCATATGTCAATTGATTTGCTCGTCATAATCAGTTTGAATTGTTTGAACTATCTCCAATTATTCACCTGTTCACTGTTCACTAAACAAATAAAAATGTAATAATGTAAAAAATATAACCAACTCAAGCATCTTTACTACCAACAATGCCAACATACCTACAGCTGCAATGTAGTCTATGCACTTTATTCGTAGACAACAGTTTGTTTTTCCCCAGTTTGAAGTTCGTACTATGTAACCTAGATGTCGCCCACTTCGTGAATCTCGCGAATAACCCTAGACTTCTAATGAAGCCTAATATTTTCTTGACGGTTGAATTTTCCGCCTCAACAGGCGTTATCTAGACCTGTTCTAGAGTAGTCAGTCTCCTCTAGACCCATTCTTTTTTAGTAATAGCTCAGAGGGTGGTGCTTTAGATCTAGTTTGCTGAGACTCACTAGCTTACGAATTGTTGAAGAACTCTTTCCTTCCCGCTTTCCTGGAGTTGTTCAACAGTAGTAGGATTTTTCACTTCATTCTCATTTTCTGAGCTCTGTGATAAGGTGGCATTTGCTTGTCGCACATAAAGGTAAAACGTGAGCTCTGCACACCTTGAAACCCACATGAGCGAGGATTGATTTCAATACTACTTATCCATCACGAAATAGGTTATTTTGATAGTTTGAATAGTTCTTCAGTTTTTTATTAAAATGTTTAAAGAATACCCTATAGCATTTGGAATTATTGTATCGCAATTATAACAACTATATTAATTCCAGCGTACAGAATTTTATTTTATAAATATAGGTTCATAATATGATCTAAGTCATATAAATAAATTGAAAGGATGAACATGAGTGTGGCAACTACGACTAAAAGACATCTCCAAGTCCCAGCGCTCTAGCAGCCGTTCATCTTTTTTCATAATGACAAAATTTACATGAGTTCGATAAGGAATTTGATGCTTTTTCAATATGTGCATGATGCTCTGTCTCTGAGTAATTCGTAAAAAATTGATTATCTGCGAATACCGACGAGAAACGCTATTTTTGAAAAGTACCCAAATTCTATTTTTCTATTTTTAACTGGCTCTATCTCCGCACCCTTTAGTCCTACATTCATGAACAACACAATTTAATCTAGGAAATTGTATCTACTTCAACTCTCTCTATAGCGGCCTTGTCGATATAATGTATGATTTCCGAGTTACGGAAAAAAAACGAAAAAGTGCGAAAATTTCGCTGTTTTTTGTTAATATCTCGGAATGATCCAGGAAATTTTGTTTGCAAAATTCAGATTCGAATTCTGCACCTTCAATAACATATAAAACCACAGATAAACCGACCATGAATTTTTTTCCGGATTGGATCCTAATCGTTACCGTTTTACTGAGCTATACTCAACTATTAACTTTTAGTTATGGCCAATCCACTTTTGTTGTGAATAGACAATTTTTGATGAATGCCATTTCAGTTGTGGCAAATAGATAGCTTTTCATAGTAACCCTAGAATAATGGTTCATCGCCCCAACGAAAACCTTTGATTAATAAAATGGCTGTCACCACTGTAATAATTCTGTCGTGGAGAGTATTATTATCAATGATAAATAATTAGGTGAAAATAGAAACGTTTTTTGTAGGATTCAGAGTAGCTTTTCAGTACCTTTGACTATTCCTATACAATAAGTTATCAGTTATGGAAAATAAATGATTTGATTGATTGATTGAATATAATAATAATAATAATAATAATAATAAAGCGTCTTTATTCACAATGAGGAAACAATAAATAATTACATATAAATTTTGTGAGTCGAAGTGGGATCAAAGTGAAAGGGCGGAGTGTCAGCTTACGCTGTTTTTAAACTCAACCTTGAAAATACATTTACAATAACCAAAATTATATAGAGAAATACAAAAAGGAGTCTTAGACTATCACGTTTTTGAGAAACAAAATTTTGTATACAAATCAAGCCAACCTATACTATATATAAAGAACCATAGTCGCATATCATGATGAGTGGGCCATATACCGCATAAGAGGAGAACTAGGCATGAAGAAGCGACTTCAGCCTTTTTTTGAAGTTTTTGATCGTGAACGATCTATATTCACTGGGAAGCGAGTTGTACAGTTTCGGAGCCATGTAAGAGAAACTACGTGTAAAAATTGTTGACTTGTGCTTGGGAATGACTAAGACTGATCTATTGCGTGTTGCGAACCTATTTATATTCGAAAAAGTTTTAAGTTTGCTCGATAGATACACAGGCTTTCCTGTGATTAAAACTTCATGAGTGTTTGTTAGCAGGTGTAATCTTCTGATATATAATATAATATATATATAATATAATATATATAATTTTATTTTACGTCAAGAGCATAATGCGACATACTCATTATTTCAATCAAATGAATTTAAAGCTTTCCTTCACTATCAGGACGAAAGAAAAATATCCTACAGAATGTTTTCAAAATATATTATCGAACATTTTGATTTGATTAGGTAGAATAGGATTTTCAACAAATACATGCCTGTATATTCTTCGTTTTTAGGTGGTGCCATTGGAGGAATTTTGCCGCCTTTTTTAATATATCATGACACTGTCGATGCTATAGGCCATTCATTATACCGAATGTTGATTCTCAATGCAATTATGGCAGGAATCGTCTTTATTCTGATCTTATTATGTAAGTGAAAGTATTATTATATCAATTCTGCCACACTGCATTCAGCTACCTATTTTCATTCCGGAAAAACTATATTTATTCTTCAACTCCAACATTGAAACTGAGCATACGAGAACCTCAAGATTCAACCCCATTCGTCATGAAATCAAAAAGGATATCACCAATTTTTATAAAACATCAATGTGGGCTTTCATCATATAAGTAAATCACGATAGTCTGAATATTCGAGATAATTCTGTCGTTTCCTTGTTCACGAAATTGTGTTGCCATACCATATGAGCCCGTCAGGACGAGTGATAAGGACTATATCACGAAGCATTAGAAGCAATTCCTATAAATAAACAAGCCATGTAACCACAGCGAGTCATGCTGACATCCAGGGGCGGCGAGTTTTGTTTTGTCCAATGGGTGCCAAAATTGAGGGGTCAGGGTAAGACAAAATTATGCGCCGCAGGCGAAAATTTTTCATGGTTCAAGGTCAAATGCCATCAAATTTCAAGATAGATCAAAGCATTATTTATTTTGCATCAAGTGTGAAACACCTCTACCAATATATAATATTTTGTGACTAATCGGGTTTCGAGTTTATGGTTGATATATTAATATGAACAAGGATGAGAAATAGAAGAATTTTTTTTCACCATTGAAAAAAGTGAACATAACTCAAAATTTAAAACGATATTAGAAAATTCAATCTCTACAAAAATAAAATAAGATTTAATAATTCTCATATCTCAAAAAATGGAATAGAGAAACTTCGGGATTCGAAAAAATTAGCAAGTAACCCCAGTTAATTTATTGCAAAGGTATTCCTACTGACTGTATTATCAATGGATTCATTAGCCACTTCTATTTTTTTCCAAACTGGCACTTGTAACCTGTGATGTCATAATGTCTAAAATTTAAATCGGAATATCTGCACAGTGCACAGTGTCAAACCCTGGATGCACATGAATCGAATATACGGTTCGCATGGTTGTTTACCTATATACTTGTCCAGCAACAATGTGCAATATTTACAAGTGCTCATTTCGCCCGTATCTAATTTGTTTTTTTATACGTCTGTTTCGGCCAATGGGTGCATTGCACCCATACCCACTGCCTACATGGGTGCATTGGCCCCGATGCCCCCATGCACTCGCCGCCCCTGCTGACATCGACAGCTACAATTATGTTATGACAAACTGACAGACTTTTCTTTGCTATCCATGGTTACATCGTTGAAAACACCAACGCTGATAGACCAATCAGAGTTGAAAAACAGCTAGTGATTTCGCGATAATAGGAGTTGCCTCTGGCTTGCAATAGGTCGCGTGCACGATCACCGACCCCGGAGGTGAAATATTGAAACACAACCTCACTTTTCTGTGAAACATTGAAACGCAATCTCACTTTTTTCATTTGTTTACAGAGGAATCACAGGATTGAAATAGTTTTTCACAATATTTTGGCATACGAATCGTGGTTTTTGCGCTATTCATTAATTCAAGTATGCCTTCTCATTGTGCTGTTATACAATACACAAAAAATGCAACGAGAGACGAAGGAATATGATTCTTCAGGTGAATAGTAATCTCACATAGTTTTCCTTATGAAATGTTGTCATTTCATATTAAAATTCCCTCTGCTACTTCTGCAATAGAAGCTAATACTGCTAATAGATTGAAAATGTCTACAACAGACACGATCATATTTCGTCAGCATGTTAGTCCAGTCCTCCTGTTCGATTGCAGGAATCCAATCTTCTTGCATTCTTTTAGAAATTTCACGAGTATTTCTATTAACTCCTATTGCAAAAGGAATTTCGATGAGAAATCAGAGGAATTACCAAATTTCAAAATAAAAACTATATGTGAGTGACTATAGTAGGTACTCATTTTCAAATCATAATGTACTAACCGGATTCCTTCGTCTCTCGCTGCACTTTTTGTGCATTGTACAACAGCACAATGTGATGGTATTCGCGAATTAATGAAAAGCCGAAAAACTCGATTCGGATGCCAAAATAATTGTGAAAAACTATTTCAATCATTTGTAAACAAATGTGAGGTTGTGTTTCAATGTTTCAACTCCAGGGTCGGTCATCTGGCAGTTCTTGCACGCATGTGATCATTTTAAGATGAGTGCAATAGTCAGTACACAGTATAGTAATATTATAAGTACTTCGAAATATTCGGTTTATACATCGATAACTTGTTGCATGATTACAGAGAGTGTCAGTTTGACAGTTGAGATATATGGAACTGGATTCTATGAAACTGACACGATTTGTGATTATGCAGGAAGTTTGAGATGTATAACCATAAATAGTTTGAAGTTTGAATTGTATTCGATGCGATTATTTTTTGAGTAGTTCCGAACGAACGTCAAAATTTTACGGCGTATGTAAAAATATGAATTGGTTACTATGGAAATATTTCGGCATTTCTGATTGGCGGAGTTACTCTATGTATATCCACGTATATGCGAAATTATACAAGGTAGCATAACTCAATTGAACGTTTTGATTCTGAATATTAGTGATACAACTCTTACAGTATCTCTTTTCTATATTTTGGATTAATTGATTGATGCTAGTTTTTAGGGCAAAGCCAGATTATCCTCCAAGCAAATCCCAACGGCAGCTTCTTTCTGAAGACCAACCATCTGGTATATCTATTGTAGGCAGTGAATTGTATAAGAACAAAGATTTTTTATGTCTCCTATTCACATTCGGATTGAGTTATGGCATTTATAACGGTCTTGGAGTGGTTTTCAATACCATTTACATCGAATATTTTCCTGTAAGTATAATTATTATAGTGTAATTCTACAATTTTCGGAGGTTGTTGGAATGCTCCTTGAAATCCACACCTTTTTCCACATTTAGCCTAATAGGCTTCCGTGACCCCATGCTGTGCAACCTTATGTTGGTCACACTGTCTACGTATTTTTTATTGACTCTGGCTTCATTCTTCCGCTGACATTAGGGAACTGCTACGATCACAATAAGGAACTGAAACTCGACTCTGCGACTCTGAGTTGATGACTGTTACTCGATTTCTAATCATATTCACTCATGTCACGTATACAAATAAGGCCAAAAACTAGTTGCCATGACTAGAGACGATTTATTGGGAGTATATCAATTATCAATCAACTCCATTGGTCTTCTTGTAATGACAAAGATGCCGTAACCTATGATTAACGCAGACGAGTGAATTTTCATCATATTACCGTTACTTGCTATCGAATTACTCTTATAGGTGAGAAGAATAACGATCGTTGACGAATGTGTCTCGAGTACAAACGAACAAGAATTTTTCCGCCGAATTGGCACACAATCAGTGACCAGAATAAAGTCAGTCCAGTCTGTCTGTAAACTTGTGCGTCGTGCATTTCTTTTGTTGAATACGGTTGTCAGTTCTGATTCTGAGTTGTGATCGAGTGAGGTTTCGAGAAAGTGATGGCTAGAAGTATGCACAAAAACTGGTATTGACCGAGACATTCAGTAGTGATTTTTCAATCTGATATGTTGGAGGCATTTTACTTTCAATCAATAAGTACTCTGAAGGTATATTTCCGTTTTTTTTCTGTCTATCATCAAACTTGCTTCTTCTGAACTATTAATTTTCTTTCATCTACACAGTTCAGTTCATTTCAGTTCAGGAGAAAATAGTTATTTGTTTTATTAGGCAGACAAGCCTAAGATTTGATGCCGCGGCTGTTGTTTCATAGCCAAAGCGTAGCCGAGGCAAGGTAACCAGCCAGGGCGTTGAATCTGCCTTTCTGCCGTGTGAAACATGTATTTTTTTTGCAAATTCGGACGATTTAACGCAAAGTCCAAATAATCCATCATTTTGTGCATCTTCGTCCAAAGTCGTTGTAAATTTTGATAACAAATTTGATCCGAATTATTACTTGGAAGGTTGCAGTCACAAACTTTTCCTTCCTAGGCAGAGAAAGTACACTTTTCGTGCCGGTCGAGTGTCATTAAGAAGCCACTTTCTATGTCACTAGTAGAAAAAATATATTTTTCTGCAACCGACACAAAAGTCGTCCATTTTGATACCGAAATTAGCTCTTAAATTGACGTTTCTATTACTGACACAAAAATAGGTATGTTGCTAGGCAACATATTTAGTTCCTAGGAGCTAAAGTTGAATTTTAGTTCCTAGGAGCTAAAGTTGAACTTTAGCTCCTAGGAACTAAAAAGGATCTACTGGACGTCATCAAGAATAAACAACATTGTGACGGTTATTGGTTATTTGGGTTATAAGACCCATACCTGATTTGTTTCCGATTTCAGCAGATTTGGCATTTCATACCCATGCTGGAGATATAAATTCACCTTATTATAGTTTAGTATTGGAATTATAAACATCTTAGTTAAGTATTTTTGTTTTGATCAGGGAAGCCTTCAAGATTTAAATACTTGCTTGATCTGTATTTCATTCGTTATTCTCGGGATGGATAACTTGTTTTTGAATAATCACGGCAAGCATAAGTTTTTTTGTCTCAAAAAACGATATTGTTCAGCTTCATTTGATTATCAAGTCAAACACTGTGTAGTATGGAGAGAAATAAATAATCACTAATATCATTGTTGATATGCTCACTAACCTAACATTTTCCACGTCTTGTTCCTATAGCTGGCACTGGCGCGGTATTTGCCATTAGAGCACCTGGTCCATACACAAATATGTCACTCTGTGGTTGTATTCATATTGAAACTACAATTCGAACATCCTAGAATACCTAACCTGCTGTTAATGCAGGTAGAATATTCTCACCACATGGATTATTTGTTGCATTGCATACATATGGCACGGCATTGGTGGTTACTTCACATGTTTATTTGAGTTAATTGTTTCGGTTGCAGAAAAAATAGCATGTTTCATTCGGATCAAAAGTGACTTTGTTCGACTCGCAAATTTTGCTTTCGCTCGGCTTCGCTAAACGCTCCGCCTCGCAAATGCAAAATTCGCTTGTCAAACAAAGTGTCACTTTTGATCCTAATAAAACAATCTACTATTCTTTCGATCCCCATTAATTTATGCATCATAATTTGTATTCCTATTCATTTGATCATCCAATTGATATTTATTTATTTCCAGAATGGCGAAACTGACCTGGGGATTACTACGGGTCTATCAATTATTTGCGGTGGAGTCATAGGCAGTACTTTCTTTGGTTTTCTTCTAGATAAAACACATCAGTTCAAGTAAGAATAATGCTTGTTTATCAATATTTTCTTCACCAGTTCTGCTTCCGCTGAGGAAAATGAAGAATAAGATCAGTGTTACCAGGAGGAAAAAAATAATTCTTTTTTTCTGTGACGGGAAAAAAGTTTGGCATTTCATTTCTGTTGGCAGGTTATGAAATGTCACTTTTCATAAATTACTTTTTTCCCGTGGTAAAAAAGTGAGTACTTTTTTCCCGGATATATATATAACATATATATACACTGTTGATGGCTTCTGTTGTGCTATAGTTCCGAAAAATGAGTCAATAATACCGTCTCCGAGAAAGAACTGCAAGTCCTTTCATCTACCATTCCACTTCGCGATTACGTATATCACTAAAGAACCACTAAATTCGCAATTTTTTGAAATCAAATCACAGAATTAGACTGACAGAAGTGACATCAGATATTTGATTCCTTCAAAGGAATGAAAAAGATGTTTACAACGCAGGTGTCCCTACTGTTAAAAACTTAAAATTTCACGTCGATAATTTTTAGATTTCAAAATAATGTAAAATCTTCTCAATATTGATTCGTCCTTTCTTCTATCATAGAAAAAAATAGTGTATTATACACGGGAAAATATTAGATTTTAGCTCAACACAACCTGGAGCTAAAATCCACTATTTTTTCCCCTTGTATAATGAATAACTATACCCGTTGTCAACGAATCTATTAGACAAGTCATAACTTCTAGACCATTTGGTGTATCAAAATGAGATTTGATATAGATAAATGGTATATGGAGAGGAGAGTTTCCACATATTTTTCACTTTCCGGTCACTTCCGGTTTCACCGGAAATAGCTCCGGTTCTAGATTGTTAAATGGAACACCCTGTATATTATAACATTTTTGGATTTCTGAGACAACTCTAGATCAGAATGTGACATTTTCGGAAGTTTTTATGCCTACTTGATTTTTTCGGAGTCATATTTGAAATTACATCTAGGTGGCCATGATCAGAAGTAAACTAATCTAAGGACCTCAGGTGATATCAAAAAATTACATTCGCGAAGTTTCAGTGACAAGTATGATAGATATGAATAAGACAAGTTGGCAAAATTACATTTTCGTGTCTAACTATTATGTTTCAAATGGCGACCATTTGTGGACAAGCACTTTCCGAAAAAAGGATATTTTAACGAATCTAACGATACTAATTTATTTGCGATTTAAATCCAGAGATAAGCATATTTCTGAATTTCTTTCGCAGAATTCGATGTTGGTCATTGATGATGATTCATTCCTTATATTGATGAAATTTCTGCTGAGTCAATTGAAAATCATTTTCAGTTGAACTTGAAAATAAAATGATTCTTTTTGAGTGTGAGTCTTATTTTATTTTGTCAAATATATTTATGTTTTCACTATGTTCCCTGCTATAAACAAATGTTGTTTCTTGGGAATAATAAAGTTGATTGATTGAAATGAAGCGATCAAAATGATCTAGATATATGTATGATATATTCGACCGTGAAATATGACAAATCTACTCTTTTATCATCAATAAATATATTAGGAATATGTGGGGTGAAATTTTGGTTATTATAACAGCAACTAAAATCCACTCAAATTTTCTGCATCTCATAATCCAAATTATTATTTTCCTCATTTTCCCATGTCGTTGTTAATAAATTGAATTCTCATAATCCAAATTATTATTTTCCACATTTTTCCAAGTCTGAAACTGACTTGTTAATGAATTGAATCCCAGCAGCAACTGTTTATATAATATATAGTCAAGTATTCTGATGGTTATTATAATAATGAATTCCGTTAAATAACTGTAGACGCAAAATCATCTGTTTTTTGTTGCAGGAAACTGAGTATTACAGTATTGGTGATGTCATGCCTATGCTTCATATTAGAGGCTTACACAGTATTGATGAGTAACAGAGTTGGCACATTTTTCACAATTCCTATATTCGAGTAAGTTTTATGAACATTATATGAATCTAGTGAATAATACAGAAGAATGTTCGTATGGAGATTTTCCTTATAAGCTTGAATTGTTTTGAGATACAGAATGTTCAAGTTCAAATTACTGTTTTTTCATAACCCCTCCGATTAAGCTTCCATGGTTATCAAATTTGGTCGGTTGACTAACATGTCATTGTCATTGTCAAAATTTAAGAATTATATTTATCGAGGTTGTTGAGCAATCTCAATGTGTGTGTGTCATTATATCCGACCCCGAAAACCCCCATAAACGAACTTTGAATAAAATCGGATATTACAAAACTCGTCTGCCATATTGGATCCGCCATCTTTGATTTTCCTAAATTTGACGGAAGAATCACTATTTGCAACCCCAAAAACCTCCACAACCCCCAGATACCAAGTTCGTATAGAATCGGATCATAATAAAAGAACTCGTTCGCCATATTGGATCCACTACCATCCAGAATTCTCTAATTTGGACGAAGAATCCTAATTTACGAATTCAAAAACCACAAAATACCAATTTTGAATAGAAGCAGATCATACTTACAAAACTCGTCCGTCATATTGGATCCGCCATCTTCAATTTTCAGATTTTGACGAGAGAATCATAATCACTGACTCCGAAAAATACCATATACCAATTTTGAAACAAATCAGATCATAATTTCAAAATTCGTCTGCTATATTGGATCCGCCATCTTTAATTTTCAAATTCTGTTGAAAGAATCATGATTTCCAACCCCGAAAACCATCAGATACCAATTTCGAATTGGATCGGATCATAATTACGAAACTCGTCCGCCATTTTGAATGCGCCATCTTGTTTTTTTTTTTGAAAAAAATATCCCATGATGCATGGTCACTTATTGATAAGTGATTTTTTTTTCAGATTCTTCATTGCTTCAACCTACACTATTGGCATAGAGTTCGTTACAGAAGTATCATATCCAGTTCCAGAATCCACTAGTTGTGGAGCTTTGAACGCCATCATCTACCTATTCGCCATAGGATCCACCTTTACCATGGAATTTCTCATTGGGGCAGCTGGATATTTGACGACATTGATTGTAATATTATGTGCATTCGTCTTATGTATCATCTCTCTGATGTTCGTGTCTTCGAATTTTCGAAGAACTAAAGCTAATTTGATGAATGAAATTGATTTATGAACCATCGCATTATCATGAAACCTTCCAGCATTGGTAGTCTCCATAATATGAGATTCAATTAGTTGAAGATATCAGGTGTAATTGATGTCAAAGAATAATGCTTTCACCTATCCGAAATATTATCGTTCTGAATGTATAGTTTATGCAAGTCAGTTGAACAGATCATCAAACGAATGTCGAGCCGCATAAACTATATGCGATCATATAACAGTCGATGACACTCCAATTTGGCAAAATTAATTCTTTGATGTAACGCTAGTTGCATGACGGAACTACTGCACATGAAAATGAGAAGTAAAATTATTGTTTTTCCATGAGATAACGAGTGAAATGATCTCAACGAAACCTCATTTTGTTCATGCATATCAAAATCTCCTTCTTGTTATGCCCTTCTGTGGTTTTCAGACAACATAATTCATTTATCAATATCGATGAATTTTTGATAATAATCAATACAACACTTGAATCATATACGATAACATTTCATATTATTCACTCCCTTTCAAGTCGTGAAGTGGTGTTGCACAACCAAGGTGTTTTTTTTTATTTCATTCGCTACTATAAGGCTACTATTCAATAATCTGACTTCTCATTCGTGATGCTATTGTACTCAAGAAATCAACGAACCTCCTACTTAATGATTAAGACAAAAACTCCTGATAAATCGATCACCTTCCTCAATGCCATGTTCGGACTAATAGTATGGAAAAATGTAGTTTATTGAACGGTACTTGTGCCAATCACTATCCAGAACAAAATGATTGATACATTACACTTTCCTGTGCGGAAATTTGTACTCGATCTCGCGATTTGATAACAACATAAAGATTATACCATCCGATACCCATTGAATGGTAGATCGACAAAAAATATCCAAGGTTCCGCAAAATAAAGAAAAGGCCAACGAGTTCGTTTGGAGACGATTCTGGAAAATTACTACTGAAAAACGGATTCTTTTGAGCTGCAATGAAATAATATACCGGGAAGAGGAAGAACAATCCATTTGATTGAATACTCTGAATGAATCTGTGATTTTTTATTTGGTGTGTACTTTTTCATACTTCCATAATATTGCTTCTACAGTGGTAGACCTCTTTAGATTGGCAACTCTCCTATTGATCTTATTGAAATTGAACAATTTCGATAGTGGCGCTGATTTGTTATATCACAAACACACAATACCGGGTGTCCCATTTTAATCTTTATTTGGAAATTGCCGAATAAAAGTTGTATGGTTTGGAGGGGGACGTCTGGTTATAAAACAAGTTTCACCCCCTGTGACCCCCAGGGTAGTGGGAAATGGAGGTAACATTGAAATCTTCAATGGAAACCCCTATTTTTTATTGCTGATTCTGGAAGAGCATTGAAAACTATGAAGCTTTTATTCAGGAACTTCTCTTTCATTTTCAAGATGGCGCTGCGATCTTGAATTACAATATTTTACTATTTAGTTTGTAGTTGGCCACCCAGATCACCCGACTTGACTTCCCCAGACTTCTTTCTGTGGGGTTACATCAAAAACATTGTGTTTCGCGAACCCCCAACCACACGCGAGAATATGAAAGATAACGCCTGCTATGTTGGAAGCGAAAAGTGCGGAATTTTGAAAAACGAGTGAACTTGTGTATTCAAGAAAATGGAGGTCATTTCGAACACTTCATAAAGTAGTCAATCTCATTTTACTTGGTTCTTTGGGATTTTCTCTCCTCGTTTCTATAAAATAAAAGTATTCGTATTATTTCAATATATTTGTAGAGGGACAAATCAGATTAACCTACAGACAGTATTTAGTCAATCTCACTTGAAACCAGCTTTTAGTCTGACCTAAATGATACCTTAATTGCTGAAACATGCTTATTTTTCTCTTTTCTATGTAGAGGTGTCAAGGTAAGTAAGTTCGTTTAGCGTTAATTTGTCGTGTGAATATCACCCCAATGGCGTTTGTCTGGGAAAATATCACACCCTACACTCTTCCTCGTCTTCAGGGGGTTGAAATGTGTAAATAGTGAAATATTGATTTTTACGATCGCAGCGCCATCTTGTGAAAATAAAGAAGAAGTTCCCGAATGAAAGCTTCATAGTTTTTAATGCTCTTCCAGAATCTGCAATAAAAAATAATAAAGATTTCAATGTTACCTCCATTTCTTACTCACCTGGGGGTCAGGGGGTGAAACTTGTTTTATAACCAGACGTCCCCCTCCAAACCATGCAACTTTTATTCGTCAATTTTTTTTGTCAGATGCATAAATTTCGAGAAATTTACAAATAAAGATTAAAATGGGACACCCGGTATATACATCTATCCCTTGAGAGGATGGTTACCAGTGAACGTTTCAAATCACCAATAATTGAAATTTCCATATTGAATATTGATTAAGATTGACTTTTTATAGGACCACTTCCTCTCTACGAATTACATTTCCATATTTTCTCCTGTTAAACAAGCTGAGGGTTCATTGTCTCCTCTCATAATGCTAGGACACACAGTAGATATATGTATCGTACCATATTTGTCACTATTTTTGACAGTCTGGAACAAATCACTGACAATTATGTGAGTGAGAATTCGGTTCCTGACATATCAAAAATTCTTCGAAAATGCCTCACTGCAAAGAATTCAAATTGGGCGACGTATGGCGGACATGCAACAAGATTAGAGCCGCTATCTTCCGCATGGGAATAAACCTATTCGAATATTTCCAGCCACTAGATCCTAACAAAAGTTGTTTGATTTCCGAATCCCAATTCATATCAGTTATAAATGGACAACTCAGAGCCACGATTGGACTTTCCGAGCAAGAAGTCAAAGAATTGGCTGATTATTTCAGAGTGCCAGATGGACGGATATACTACACCCAACTATGTGAAGTAATGCATGATAGTGTCCCACAGTTCAGTGATAATGTACCCCTGGTAACTGGCTTAGAATGGGAGGATCCCTTACACACGAACAGACTAAGCATCAGTGAGGAACGGCGACTCAGTGTCTTACTGACGAAAATTGCATCACTAGTCAATATGAGGAAGCTGATATTGAGGCCATATTTCCAGGATTATGAGCTGGTATCGAAGAATTGCGGTACCGTAACAATGGCTCATTTCGCGAGGATCCTAGCACACCTGAACATCCTCCTATCAGCAGATGACTTCAATCTCTTGGTGAAGAAATATGTCAAGGACAGTTACACCTTGAATTATGTGGCGTTCATTGCAGCCATCGATCAAGTTGTAGACTATCTGAATAGAAATGGGATACTCGATCTCAGCGGGGATGTTATGATTCTATTTCCCGGAAGAGTCCTCAATGCCGAATTGCCAAAGCTACCTAGACCGGAAATAGGCAAGATAACAGCGGCGCAACTTTTTGGGAAACAAAGCATCTTCCACCCAGCACTGAATGACCCTAAGAAAATTGAACACATTCTTACTACCGTTTCCATGATTCAAGCTCACGTACTGAAGAATAGATTGAGGATTTGTGACTTCTTCAAAGATTTCGATCCCTTGAACTGTGGCAGAATTACACTCTCACAATTTCATCGTGGCTTGGATGCCTTGGTCTTGAGCGGAAAACAGAGGTTTTTTCTGTCCCTACCAGACGTGGAAGCTGTGATAAATCAATATAGAGATCCTTGTGATCCAAGTAGAGTATGCTGGAGGACATTTGAAGATGATATGGATCAAGCGTTCACCGTGAAAGAACTGGAAAAAACTCCCAGTCTGAAAGTAGAATCACCTCCGAAACGAGTTAAGGAGTTACTGAATCCTGGAGCAAAGAACTGGCAAGCTGTCAATACACCAACGAGGGACCTATGTGAAGAGGCTGTTGATAAAGTCAAACAGAAGATACTACATAGAAGAATTTTGCTCAAACCTGTTTTCAGAGATTTCGATAAATATAATAACGGCCACGTCAGCAGATCCCAAATGAGACAAGCACTACATTTCAATGGGATTTTGTTGTCAGACGAGGAAATTTTTGCTCTGGAAGAGCGATTCAACGATGATGTAGGATTCAACTACTTCTGGTTTTTGAAAGACGTAGACTCATCCAATGCAGAGCCTTTGTACACTCAATTCGTCACCGATATGTTGAAATTGAATGCAGAGAAACCGATGGAGAAACCAACTCGTCGTGAACAGGATATCGTACAAATAATGGCGAAAATCAAAGGAAAAGTTGTGAGAGAAAGAATAAGAGTTCTGGAATTCCTCAGAGACTTCGACAGATGCAATGAACAAGTTATCAGCAGAGTTGATTTCAAGAGAGGCTTGTCTGTCTGCAAATTCGACTTGACTGACAATGAAGTGCAAACATTGATGCAGGTGTTCGCTTCTCCTCTGCGGAAAGAATGTGTTGATTATAAAAGATTTTCCGAAGTTGTTGAGGAATCCTTCAGCCAGCAATGCCTGGAAAGGGCTCCTCTGATCGTTCCCATCCAGCATGTGCCAACGAGAGATTGCGAAAAGAACTTCCTCAATTTTGACGAGAGAATTGTCGTTTCTATGGCACTGCAGAAGTTGGCAAAGAAGCCTGATATGCAAATGAACCTCTCTTCAGTGTTGAAGGACTATGACAAGACGAATTGCGGCACCGTTTCTCAAACTCAATTCCTGAAGGCACTCACTCTCAGGGGGATGTCTAACCTGATCTCTAAAAATGAATTCGATGTCATCTGCAAATGTTTCAGCTTTGAAAGGGGCATGAGGGACGAAGTTGATTATAGGGCGTTTATGAAAGCCTTGGATATCATTTACCTCACTGAAAAATACAATCCGTTTTGATCATAATAATATGATATTAAAGATGTTTTTTTCTCACTGCTATCGAATATTATCATTATTCAATTATTTCTGGAACGATAATGAAGTGAATATGCTTCGTACAATCAGAATGTTTTCACTTATTATTATTCATAGGGTGGCCCAAGTTTATGATCAGACGTTAAAAGATAGGGTCCCCGTCATTCCTTGCTCGCACAAGACTCTCGAAGATTTCTGAGGGTTGCTCGTAAGGGGGCAACCGAATGACGGATAAAACGATTTTAGAAATTTTTTAGAACAATAAATAGGAGAATTATTTATAACTAATGCAAAATGTAAATCAGAATCATCGTCAATCTCTAGACGAATGGATTTGAAATTCCTTTATCGAATATACACAGGGTGAGCTTATGGAATCGATTCACCCCAATTTAAAGGATTTGAAATACTTTTTTCAACATACCCACTGCATCGAAAGTGAGCGTGGGAGGAATAGTATATTATGTAACAAGTGTTATAAACGTCCTTTTAGTAACGAGCGGAGCAGAGCGGAGCGAGTGTTTAATAAACGAGTGTCTAGAAGAGTTTATAAACGCGTTACATACTATAATTCTTCTACGAACTCCGAAAATATTCCTGCTATCCTACGAAATAATTCGAAAGGAATGGGAATTGAGAACATAATACATGCAACTGCATGCAACCAGCGAGACACGTGTAAGTGGTATCGGTTGTAAATGTGTCCAGTCCATTGCTTACTAACCTTTGTTTCACGTAAATTGTCATGCTTAGCGCAGAATAAATAAATTGTTCTCGAAGATAGATGCTTCATTTTTATACTTTTTTTTATCGCTTGGAGCGCACGAAAGGGAATCCCTATAATGTTCAAAGAACATCGTGCGATCCTAGGGAGGATAGGGACAGGAGATATGCAAGTACCAGAACATTCTCTTCGATTTCACTTTTGTCTACATTCCGCATATATTTTTAATGGAGAACTCCGATACAAACGAATATTGTTTGAATAATTCTGATACAAAATTTCAAAATAACAGTTGACAGTTAATACAATTGTCGAGCTGTGTTTAATGAACTTTGTTGCCATGGTGATGTATTTAAGAAATCGTGTTGCCATGGTAACGTGTTTAATATTTTGAATAAATCACAGATCGGCAATCCGTGATTAATCGATCATTTAGCGTGGTACATATCCGTACGCTCAATGACATTTTAGTTATGTGAGTAGAAAAAATGAATTGGCTTCAGCTTGCTTGCTTGGTAGAGATATACGTGAAATATTTCCGCTACCCAAGAACCAAATCAGTGTCTACATCACTACTATTCAGAACAAATAACAATTTCCTTCTCGAATTCACTTCCTCATATTCCAAACTTACTCAAACGAATCTTCAAATAAAATATAATTAAACAATGAACACATTCGATTTGACAGAAGTGTCTAATTGATGATCGAAGGATCGAAACGTCAATATGTCAAAAATATTCTTGAGCTGAAAAAATGGTTATTTCTGAGATTAGGGTCAAGTGTTAGAGAGGGACGTGTTCCGTAGTTTCTAAATTTTGTGTATAATACCTAATCCACCATTGAAAAAAGAAAATCTCTGTTGTACAACAGTATTATTTCAGTGATTTGAAATATTAGCGTGAACTGTTGTGAATAAATTCTAAGGTGAGTACCAGTTACCATATCTGCCTATTGGGATTTTCGATATTGATCTATTTCAATAGTTGATACATTCTTTGTTCTGGTTCTTCAAAGAGGAAACTCATCAGATTTCATGCTTTAAATAGGTTCATGTCATGAAAGAAGTGAAGCTTATTCAAATCGGCTACAAAAAAGATTTCCTGCTTTTATTTCAAGTAGAAATTTGAATGAAAATGTTGAGCACAGTATTTATTCGACCACAGAACAATGATGGAAATAGATTCATCCCTCACAAAACCACGGTTTTGAACGATTTTCCGATTATGGCGCCTCTATCGCAAATACTTGAACCCCACGGCCAAAACTCGCTTGCAATTGTTCCATATCGAGAGGTTAGTCTGACGAAACAATTGAAGAGTGAGCCCACCAGTTAAATTTCTATACATCTCTTATCGTATAATGATTGGTACTGTAACGTCACATCACATTTACATTAGTGACAATTATGTGAAATTCGGTTCTTGTCATTATCGAATCGGAAATTATGCGAAAATGTCTCACCAAAATGATTTCGAATCAGGTGGCATATGGCGAACATGCAACAAGATCAGAGCTGCCATCATTCGCTTAGGACTAAATCTATTCGAATATTTTCAGCCACTGGATCCACAAAGAAAATGTCTGATCTCCGAATCTCAGTTCATATCTGTCATCGACAAACAGCTCAGAAAGATCACTGGACTCTCAGAGCAAGAAATCAAAGAATTGGCTGATTATTGCAGAGTTCCAGATGGAAGGATATATTACACCCAACTATGTGAAGTTATACATGATAACGTTCCTGACTTCGATAACAAGGTACACATGGTGACAAGTTCGAGAAGAGATCCCTTACACTCAAACAGGCTGAGTGTTAGTGATGAACGGCGATTCAGTGTATTACTGACGAAAATTGCATCATTAGTTAATATGAGGAGGCTGATACTGAGACCATATTTTCAAGACTTCCAGCTGGTATCGAAGAAAAGTGGAAATGTGACATTATCCCACTTTGCTAGGATCCTAGCACACCTCAACATTCCTCTCTCAGCTGAAGACTTCAGTCTATTGGTGAAGAAATATGTCAATGATAGTTATACGTTGAATTACATGGCATTTATTGCAGAGATCGATCAAGTGGTTAACTATTTGGATCGAAATGGAATACTGGATCTCAGTGGGGATATCATGATCCTGTTTCCTGGAAGAGTCCCTTATGCAGAATTGCCTAAGCTGCCTAGGCCAGAAATAGGGAACAAAATGGCGGGCCAACTTTTCGGAAAAGAAAGCACGTTCAATCCAGCTCTGATTGATCCAAAGAAGATAGAACATATTCTTACTACCGTTTCTATGATACGAGATCACGTTCAGAGGAACAGATTGGAGATTTGCCGTTTTTTTGAAGATTTCGATCCTTTCAACTGTGGCAAAATAACAGTCTCACAATTTCATCGTGGCTTAGACGCGTTGGTCTTGAGTGGGAAACAAAGGTTTTTTCTATCACTACCAGACGTGGAAGCTGTGATAAATCAATATAGAGACCCTTGTGATCCGAGTAGAGTATGTTGGAGGACATTCGAAGATGATATGGATCAAGAGTTCATCAGGAAGGAACTCGGAAAAAATCCAAGTCTCAAAGAAAATCGTCATCCGGTAGAAGTTAGCGGGTTACTCAGTCCTGGAGCAGACAACTGGCAAGCTTTCAACACAGCATCAAGAGATCTATGTGAAGAGGCCGTTATGAAGGTCAAGCAGAAAATACTGCATAGAAGAATTTTGCTCAAACCTATTTTCAGAGATTCTGATAAATTCAATAACGGCCATGTTAGTAGTCATCAGATGAAACAAGTACTTCATTCTAATGGGATTTTGTTATCAGATGAGGAACTTTTAGCTCTAGAAGAACGGTTCAACGATGATGTGGGATTTAATTATTTCTGGTTTCTCCAAGACGTAGATTCATCTTGTTCAAAGCCATTTAGATCTCAATATGTTACCGATATGAATGCAGATAAACCGATGGAAAAATCATCAAGGCAGGAGCAGGATATTGTACAAATAACGGCAAAAATCAGAGTGAAAGTTATGAGGGAAAAAATAGGAGTTATGGATTTGCTGAGAGACTTCGACAGATGCAATGAACAAGTTATCAGCAGAGATGATTTCAAGAGAGGCTTGTCCGTTTGTAATTTCGATTTGACTGACAAGGAAATGAAGACATTGATGGATGTGTTCGCCTCACCGCTGCGAGAAGAATGTGTTGACTATAGAAGATTTTCCGAAGTTGTTGAGGAAACTTCCAGCCAACAGTGCCTAGAAAGGACTCCTCTGATTGTTTCCTTTCAGCATGTGCCAACGAGAGATTGCGAGAAGAATTTTCTCAATTTTGACGAAAGAATTATTGTTTCCGTGGCGTTGCAAAAATTGGCAAAGAAGCCTGATATGCACATGAACCTTTTTTCAGTGTTGCAGGATTCCGATGCCAAAAAATGCGGTACGGTTTCTAGAACTCTATTTCTGAATGAGCTCACTCTCAGAGGAATGACCAACTTGATATCTAAAAATGAATTCGATGTCATCTGTAAATGTTTCAGCTTCGAAAGGGGCACGGGAGACGAAGTTGATTATAGTGCCTTCAAGAAAGCTCTGGATATTATCTACTTAACTGAAAAATACAATCCTTTTTGATTGGGTGGATCTAGTAATATAAATTCATTTTATCACTTCAGATACTATTCACGAATGTGTCTGAATCATTGAACAATGTCAACGGTATATGCATTTAGTCTCTTAAATCAAGGATACTTTTAATTTTCAGTGGATCATTAAACGGTTCATACTTCTGTTGAGTCTATTGTATATATTAATGATTTCATCAATTTTGGCAACGGTTAACTGGTCGAAGACGATGTTGACATACTTAGTACCTACAGTGAAATCTTCAGTATCGTCTTAGACGAATGAACCTCATCATTCGAGATGAATACAAGATTTTTTCAACAAGTGACTGGACTGTGAGGACGTAAAAAGTCCTCTTCCCTCTCCTTCAACTATTGAACAGAAAATGCAAGCGAGGTCTTTCAAGTAAAAATGAAGTAATAAGTAATATTCTCCCAATCTGAACTAACTGAAATATTTCACTAGAATTGAACTGCATGAATCATTCTTTCGAATGACGTTCATTCTGTACAAAGCATGTCAACTGATTCAGTACAGTTCAATTGAAATGTATCAGTTAGTTCAGAATGAAAAAATATCAATATTTATCAAAATTGGAAGAAATTGAGTATTTGTATGCATGTTCCATATTGGAATTTAGGTAGTTTTGTTTGTAATTGATCAAAATTTCATGAAAATCGGAAAATTCTTTGGTGGCCGGTTTTTTTGCAGGTGTTTATCAACAAAGGACAAATTGAAAAGATTTACGCAAAATTCGGTCTACATACAGTATGATGCAAATGTATGGAATAAATTCATTATTTCAGAAATGGGCGACATTTGAAGAAATTCCAAAAACACGTGAGTTTTAATTTTTGAAACCTCATCTCATGACATTCAAATGAGAGATGTTACGTCACCGGTGTTGGAGTAATGACGTAATGGACGGTTTTTTTAAATACAAACAGGGGTCATGTGACACCTCGTTTGAAAGGTCTACTGATCGTCTATCCAATAGTCAAAATTTGGCAAAAGAAGATTGAAATTAAAATGGATTATCATTTGGTTAACTGAATCTTGCAGAGATCTTCTACTGAGAATTGAACATCGAAGGGTCGTCTAGTTGAAAAAATACATCGATAAAAAAGTTCTGAACTCTACTTTCTGGATTTTTTTCGGAAGTCGTCTTGTTTTGAAATGGTGCAATTTTTGTCTTACAAGACGGTAACAGTGGCTCCATTCATTTTTAGTTTTCATGGAAAGTATAGTCTATCCAAAGTTAGTTTGAGCAAAGAATATTTGCCACGTGCATATACTTCAAACCCACTTCAAGCAAGCCGCCGCAGATTGAATTTGTTGGTTTTTGATTGATTTCTTTGTCCTTAATCCATCAGACCTCAGAATTAATCTCCCTGGCTTGTCACCGCAGAATCTGTAGTAGGTGGGGTAAAGAAAAGTCACAAAATCATCGGTACTAAATTATTTATAAACAGGTACTCATTTATAATACTTTACAATTGATGTTTGATATTTCTATCAGGACATGGCGATGAATTTCAGTGTTAGGTACAGTTGTGTGCATAAACAAGTCGTACAGCAGTTATAGGCTATTGTGAGTCAGGCTTGTCCATCTTGATAATTCTGCTTAACGACTTTGACAAGCAGTGTCTAAATTCAAACTATTTTTTTCTGCAACCGACACAAAAGTCGTCCGTTTCTATTACTGACACAAAAATGGGTATGTTGCTAGCCAACATATTTAGTTCCTAGGAGCTAAAGTTGAATTTTAGTTCCTAGGAGCTAAAGTTGAACTTTAGCTCCTATAGGAACTAGAAAGGATCTACTGGACATCATCAAGAATAAACAACATTGTGACGGTTGGTTATTTGGGTTGAGACGCATACCTGATTTGTTTCCGATTTCAGCAGATTTGGCATTCCATACCCATGCTGGAAATATAAATACATCTCATTATAGTTCAGTATTGGAATTATAAACATCTCAGCTGAGTATTTTTGTTTTGATCAGGGAAGCCTTCAAGATTCAAATACTTGGTTGATCTGTATTTCATTCGTTATTCGCGGGATGGATAACTTGTTTTTGAATAATCACTGCAAGCAATAGGTTTTTTGTCTCAAACAACGACATTGTTTAGCTTCATTTGATTATTAAGTCAAACACAGTGTAGTATGGAGAGGAATAAATAATCACTATCATCATTGTTGATATGCTCACTAACCTAACATTTTCCACGACTTATTCCTATAGCTGGCACTGGCGCGGTGTTTGCCATTAGAGCACCTGTTCCATACACAAATATGTCACTCTGTGGTTGTATTTATATTGAAACTACAATTCGAACATCCTAGATAACCTAAACTGCTGAATATTCCCACCACATGGATTATTTGTCAATATTTGTTGCATTGCATACATATGGCACGGCATTGGTGGTTACTTCACATGTTTATTTGAGTTAATTGTTTTGGTTGCAGAAAAAATAGCATGTTTCATTCGGATCAAAAGTGACTTTGCTCGACTCGCAAATTTTGCTTTCGCTTGTCAAACAAAGTGTCACTTTTGATCCTAATAAAACAATCTACTATTGTCAGTAACGTGCAAATGTGTACGCGTACTACTTTTTAATGAAATCTGAAATATCATAGGCAGGTTTACACTATATAAACCTTGTACGACTTGTTTTTGCACACAACTGTACAATAATTATAGATATCTGAATTCACCATATTCCACTCAGAAATAAGAATAAGACACTTCGTGCCATTTATTGAAAGAAGTTACTGTCAAATTGAGTATACCATTTATTGAATGCATTGTTGCCAATATCAATAGTAATGAGATTATAAAACAGATGATTCATAAAGTTGTTCTTTTGCTCGTATTTGAAAGAACTACCTATCCACCAGCTTTTGATTCCATAGAAATACTCAATTCAACATTGACATCTTCTTGTTCAACCTCACAATTCCTCAATACTCAATCCCTGAAAATATGGTCTTTTGGCCTTATACCAAAATTTTGCAACTTCACAAATCACTATACTGAGTCATTCCGAAGAAACTATCTGTCTATTCGTGTCAGAAAATTCGTCGAGGTCACTGTTTGTCCTTATCATAAACAACTGGGCAATATGCGCACTCATGATCATTATTTTTTCATTAAAATTATGACAAAGAGAATCCTCAAAAATGATAATGAATCTGAAGACATCATCCAGTCGAATTGGCATCATCAGCAAATTTCTTCACGATATTCTCGAGGCTGGTCGAAGTACCGACTATGAGGCCCAAGATAGCGAACAGGATGATGCAGCAGCTCTTGATGATGATGAGTACCCCTCTGGTACCCACCAGGGAGTACCAGTTGGTGCTGAGGTCGATGATGGCTGGAAAGGCGAGGCCCAGCATAGAGAGGCTGAGGGCCCCAAAAAGGGAGATGAATAGGTCGACGTAAGGGATGGCGACCGCTAGGCAAACTGGAAAGTGAAAAGTGAAGTGATGAAAGTCTCTTACAAGCGTCTATAGCTATACCAGCGGATCTTTGAAACATCGTCACCCACAACAAATGATATTTCTTCCGTCTTCATATTAAGAAATTACGATTACTACGCCTACTTCGACTAAAGCGATAGCTCAGTGGTCTGTGTATCTGACTTCCAGCACGGTGGTGACTGGGGTTCAATCTTTACCACCGATACAACAAGGCCAGCAGACTCTGACGTAAACAGCTCGTGACGTCACCAAGAGAGGCCAGTGTTTCATTTTATCGCTTGTCGACTAACGCGTCAGTTCGTGTTAATTCATCCGTGATTCACGTATGTTTTTGAAACGGTCCCGAATTCTTTTGTTGTTTATTTATCAAAATAATTGGCGGAAAAATTACTGATTTGTGAAATATTTTGTGTTGTGATCGGCGAAATAACAATGCCTTTCAAGTGTTGTGTTCGCTTTTGTCGGGGGAATTATGTGGGGTGTTCAAAAGTTCATGCTTTCAGTTTCCCGTTGGACTAGGAGCTATCGAAAATGTGGGTATATGCAATTCACCACGAGGATTTTACTCCATCTAAGTTCAGTAGTGAACAGAGCTCCATTTTTAATGATGAATTAATAATAAAAGACAATTTCTCTCTCATAAAAAGTATAAGTAGAGGAAAAATAGAAAAGCTTTGATTGTGCAGTTAGTTTTGTATGCGTATATTATAGTCAACAAAATCATCTCTGAATTCGAGGAAATTTTCTTGAATGTTCAATGTTCAATGTGGCAATGAATGCAGAATTCATTCCAATGATCGAATTGCAACTATCATATTAACATGAACTACAAACACTCTACTTAAAAAGGTAGAACTGCATTTATCATGATATTCATCATGAAGATATTTGACTAAAAAGTTCCAAATTTCACCTTCTTTTTCACCTGTCTTCTGGATGGCATTTAGAACAAATTTTCCTTCTTTTTTCATCATATTGGACAATTCATATATAATTCAACTATAAATATGATTTTCTTGAGATTAATCCATATTTAGTGAAAAGAAGGAGGAATATCATTCAAAATAATGGCGTGTGTAATGTCATTCAAAAGCAATCTATTGACATTTGACATCTCGTATTTTGATTGACTATTGATTGAATGGTCGTCATCTGGAATGCTTGTTCACTAAATATAAAAAACTCGCCATAAAAATCATATTTCCTGTTGAATTTTCTATATAAAAATTTTCAAAAAAAACCATCGCATGATAAATGCAGTTTTACCCTTAAAAATTCTCAGCCTTCAACTTCTACAACACATTCTGATGTCTCTACCTCACAGTCGCATTGCACATAGGAAAACTTGAATAATCAGGCTAATGAGCATACTCTTGTCTCAGCAGCAGCCCAACAGGACTTACCAGCAAATTTGATAGCTGATGATGAATGCTCAAGATACCTGTGAGATACCTGTAATGTTACATTATTTGTTGCGTTCTGTCTCTAGAGGCTAATGTGTCTGACAGTTTGACGTTGACATTACCATTACCAACTTTGAAACAAGGAATTCAGCGTGTCCTAATAGAACCTGTTTCGATACGCATTTGTGTGTCATAATGACTTCATTAAAAAAGCAAAATAGAAAAAGATACTCACAGCATATTGAGACCAGTAACGTTCTGGTCGCATACTCATAAAAAATTTGGTTCGGACTCTTGTCAAATAGTGGTCTCAAATATTGGGTCCAAACTATATCGATGGCAGGATATAACTGTAGAGCGTGCGATGAATATATGGCAACTGCTAGCATTATTTTACAGACTTGTGCAGGGCTGAAAACAAAAGAACAACATTTATATACAAAGTTTTTTGTCCTAAACGAATAACCCCACTTTGCATCTCTATAGACTTCATTTCCAGTGTCATATCTATATGATTTGTTGTAGTTTGAATCGCCTCACCATAATGTAGTATGATTCCCAGCGAGCAAAAAACATCCCTGGGATGTTTTGGGATGTTTTGAAAATGTTGGCATGAAGATGTTATTTTGAGACGTAATATGCACTGACCAAAGAGGTCTTTGAAGGATATTGAAGTATTGTTTTTGTTCTTCTGTGGCATTTCTTTGTTTGCCTACTGAGAGGTATCTCCGGGATGTTTTGGGATGTTTTAGAAATGTAGGCATGAGGATGTTTTTTGAGGCGTAATATGCACTTCCCAAAGAGGTCTTAGAAGGATATTGAAAGTATTGTTTTTGTTCTTTTGTGCCCTTTCTTTGTTTGCCCCACCACAACGTCTCATGCTTACGTCACAATACGATGAATTCTGATTTGTTTTCGATTTTGTTCTTCTTGTTCGCAATTGGCAATCGCGTTTGCAGCGTGTCACGCTTACATCACGCTGCTAACGAACAGAAAGGAATTTGGTGAAGTTTATTGTGTTAGAAGACTTATTTAGTTTGTGATAATGACCATCAGATGCAAGATGTGTTGTTCGGTGCCTCAGTGTAATCAATATAATATAAAAGTACGAATTTATCAAAACACAACTTCTCCGCAGTTGCAAAAGTATGCATTGTGGAAAACATTTCAAAAATTGGGAAACCTATTTCCAATTATATGTCTGTGTGTTGTAAGCACTACTCAGGAACCGATTAAGAAGGTTATTTCATATCAAGAAAATATTTTTATGTTCAATCTATTTTCAATGCATTTTTTCATTCAAGGAAAATGGAATCCTAATGCAAAAGTTCATTTTGACAAATGGCTTCAGAAAAGTACAACAAAATAGTTATTTTTGTATCTAGAGCGCGAAATGCTACTTTGGTGATCGAGATCTGATTTTTTTAACGAGGCGTAGCCGAGTTGAAAAATTGAAAATGTTTTGTTGTGTCCACGAAAATGCTTTTAAAAGAACGAGGGAGAAGGTAGTTTTGTGACATATCAAGGACATCTCGATAATTGCCGCCTGCGGCGGACATTGGCTGTTCTATAATAGTTCTATTCATGTGTGAACAGAACATCGCAGTGGAGGTTCAATGTCTCGAAATCTCGTACTTTTAACATCTCTGAGATGTTTTTGTGCTCGCTGGGTTATTAATCAAACAATTCATTGGGTACTATATTTCAGTTGCACATCATGCACATTTGAAATTTAATCCTTGGGGTGATCTACGCCTTGTGAAATTAATTCTATAGATATATTGTGTTTTGCGATTCTACCTACATTTCATTACCAATGTTGTAGGAAATTGAACCAGGAACTTCAGAACCAAATGCCAAGTAACCAAAAAGTCCCATGCCTATATATAAGCTGACGATGATGAACATGCCAATGTTGAGCACACCACAAGGACCATTGAAGGATTCTGGTGATTTCATTTCATTTTCTAACGGCATTATCTGAAAAAAAGAGTTCAGAGGTTATTGATTATTTTCCTTCTAGTTTTACTCCAAAGTCATTCTTATACAGGGTGCGCCTCTTAAAATGTAATCCCTCCTTCACTCTTTCGTTTTCAGAGATATGAAAAATTGTTAAATGGAAAAATTTGCTCAAAAGACCCAAAGTTTTATTAGATATTTGTCATCTTCAATACATCATTGTGCTCCCATTTTGTTCAACATTTTTGTGAATGATATCAGTAGAGGATTCGTGAACTGCGAGTTTTGATTATTTGCTGACGATTTGAAATTATTTCGAACAATAAATTCAAAATTTGACCAAATCAATTTACAAGAAGATTTAAAAAGATTGAATAATTTGTGTATGGAAAGTAATCTGGATCTAAATATCAATAAATGTTATTTTTCAAGGGTTATAAGAAGTTTGGTACTGTATATAGTATAAACAATAGTCCTCTCAGATACGTTTCAACTGTTCTAGATCTAGGGGTCACTTTTGATGAACAAATGAGATTTGTTAATCACATAAACCATTTCAGTTAGGAATGATTATTCGTAATTGCTCTGAATTCTCAGTGGATTCTATAAGGAAGGTCTATATGTCATTGGTCATTTCTAAACTGACTTATGCATCTATTGTCTGGTCTCCTCTTTATATCATGTTCATAATATAGTCATGGAGAGAATACAGAACAAATTTCTGAGGTATTGTGCCTTTAAATTGAACATTCGTTGGGAAAACCATCAATATATGCATATTATGAACGAAATAAACTTAATTCCATTGCGTAGTAGAAGACTCAAGTTAGATTTATGTTTCATTTTTAAATTATTGAATGGTGGAACTATATACTGGTCCTGGTCCTGGTCCTTAGATTTCCACATTTATTTCAAATACCATTTCATGTCACAAATTATGGACAGCATAATCCGATAAAAAGGACATTGAAATTCATAAATAAAAGTAATTAAGATGCATTAGGATGTTCATTCATTAAGTTCAAGATGCCTTTGCGTGATAGCTTATAGCCTATTATTTCGTTTCATATTTTTATTCTTCTCATTTTCTTATCTAAATTGTTAAGTGAGTACCTATGTGTTGAGACACGGTGTATATTCATTATATTCTTATATTCATACTGTATTCAAACTTGTAATGGGGTTTTCCGTGAATAAATAAATAAATAAATAAAATAAATAAAAAAAAATCATCTAAATAATCCGAGTCTCAAAAAACGCATTCTTATAAGAATACAGAATTTTGTAATAATTGGTTGAGTATAGTTTTACTTATGTAAAATCATCAACGCCATATTGAAACTATTATATTTCCCTCAAAGATGAAAGCATGCCGAAGTAGTGATGCTTAAGAAGCAAGGCCAGGATAATGCTCTTCCGCAGAGCTATCGTCCTATCAGTCTCCTGTGCTCTCCATCTAAGATAACTGAGCGAGTGATTAAACAGAGATTACAGGAATTTATCGACGACAACGAGCTTATACCAGATGAGCAGTTCGGTTTCAGAACTGGCCACTCAACTGAACTACAAGTCTTGAGACTCATTGAGAACACAATATCGTTGAGAAATGATAGACAAAAGACCCATCTTGCTCTCCTTGACATAGCGAAAGCATTTGACAAGGTGTGGCATGATGGTATCTTATACAAAATGATCGATATGGGCTTTCCTGACAATTTGATTCAGTTGATGTGTTCATTTCTGAGAAATCTAACTTTTCAAGTAAAACTTGATGATCAACGATCTGGTATCAAGCCCATTGAAGCTGGTGTTCCTCAGGGTGCAGTTTTATCTCCGCTGTTGTACAGTTTATATACTAGCGATTTGCCAAGACCAGTGATGTGCAAGATGTCGCTTTTTGCTGATGATACGGCAGTTCTTGCATATTCGACAAATTTCGGGCAAGCAGCTATGAACCTCCAAAGCGCACTGAATTCTCTTCAGGAGTACTTCCTAAGATGGAAGATCAAATTGACTCCTACAAAAACACAATTGGTCGCACTCGGAAGGGAGCGGAGGCCTCCCAGAACCAGAATAGTCCTGGATGGTCATGAGTTAGAGTGGTCCTCACAAGTTAAATACTTAGGTGTGTGCATTGACAAAAAGCTCACCTGGGCCCAGCACATTGAACAGCAAGTTTCTAAAGCTAAACGAGCCATTGGAGCCCTGTATCCATTTCTAAACAGGCGAAGTAAATTGGGTTTGAGACAAAAATTGAATATTTATATCATGGCTATCAGGCCAATTTTACTGTATGCCTCAGTAGTCTGGGGCCACACAGCTGAATCTCATATCACCAGATTACAAACATTACAAAACAAAGTCGCGAGAATGGTGACAGGATCTCCTTGGTATGTTCGGAATAACCAGATCGCCAGGGATCTGAAACTGCCTTCAATCGTGTCAGTCATTAAAGAACGAAACATCAAGACTTTCGAAAAAGCTGAGGTTCATGAGAATCAGCATCTTCGAAATGCAGTTGATTATGACCCAGGTGATCAATCAAAGTTCAATAGACCGAGATTGTCCATAAACTAGAGAAAATATCGACATTATGACCAAATTTACTATTCTCAAGTTTTTGATATTTATTTTTTCCGTTCGATCTCTTCCAATTCTCAGAATGTATTTCTGAAACTTATTTGGGGCAGAAGGGCTGTTCGCATCAAACTTCAATACCGTTTTTATTTCGTTCCATAATAGATATCAGGATAAGAGGGACTCTTCCCTGGTCTGAATAAAATAAAAGAAAGATCCAATATATAGTATAGTTTTGACGTGAAAGCTCAACAAACAAACTTACATTCATATTTATAATATTAGTAAGGATGAATATATATAGAAGTGAGGGTATACTCACCACTCCAATTGCTTCCAAAGCAAAAAGTACAGTCCCAAAGAATAAGGGATACTCCAAATAGTTTCCGAAAACATTTCTATTCTCCAACGTGATATCCTGCTTGATCATGTAGTACAGAATCAATCCAAAACTTATCAAAGTGATACAGTTGGCAAGTATTGAGAGAGGTGCCAATAACTTCAGGTTCCGTACGTAATTTATGAATATCAGCGGTAAAAGAAAAATCAGCATGATCCATCTGGTGTCGAATTCCAAGTTGTTTCCTTCGAGTACGATGTGGATATTGTCGCCTATAAAAACTATATAGACAGTACAGATGCCCATCTGGTAGATGATCAAAAACATATTGACGATGTGCCTGAAGAAAAAACATAATGATTTCGGAATTTAATACAGCGTATATATTCACGGAAATAATAATTATTATGGTTGAAGATATGTTTGTTTTATGGCCACCAGTTTTCCAACAGCTACGAAATAGTAGATTGTTTTATTAGGATCAAAAGTGACACTTTGTTTGACAAGCGAATTTTGCATTTGCGAGGCGGAGCGTTTAGCTGGTTCTATCTTGTAACATGAGACGTTACACAGGACGTCTTCGTGTTCTCTGTAGAGGAGTAATGCTAATTATTCATGATATCAGTCAAGTAGCCCTCCTATATTTCCTTATCCTAATTATTGATAAAAGTATGAACTCACGGTGCATAGGGCGCCATTTTCTGAAACGCCGCGGGGCCATCTTGTAGAGCACACTCCGCCGTCCTGGGATAAGTCATACTTGGTACTTTCCTGCGCTTACACATCTCGTACTCGCATTTGAGAAGTAAGTGGATCGAGTATGTGCAGAGGAAACCTATAAAGGCCGTGCTGATGAGTCCCAAAAGGTAACCGGAGTGCTTGAACGCCAAAGGCATGGCCAATATGCCCGTTCCAAGGCTGCCTTTCAGGAGATGGAGCAGAGTTTCTCCATTTCTGGAAGGAAGTAAAGAACCTCATAGCGGATTCCATTGGTAAAACTAGTGCCTACTCAGTGTATACATTTCTCTTTCTGCTAAATGTCAAAAAGAAGGATAAATATACACTGAGTGCATTGATACTCCACCAGTTGATGCCCAATGTAAACCGCTATAAGATTGTCACAAAGGATGCTGATTCAACGGTCGGTTGATAGTTTACATACAGTGTGTGCGATTTCACCTATTTTAAAAAACAAATATATTATAATGTAGTACTCATCGAGCTCAATTCGAAAATGTGACCATAGGACCCCGCACTTTTTCTATTCAAAAATGTCGTTCTGTCGAATTTTCTGAATTTATGGTATATTACAGTCAATGAACTCAATAGGTGTTCATGATTGTGTTCATTGAAAACAGTACTCGACATATTGATCTAATATGCCGACATATTGATCCAATATGCCGAATCCCAATGACCAGTTCTTCAGATACAGGGTGTTGAAGTAGAGAAGTGCCCCCTTTTCATCTACCCATATCTCCAAGAAAGGACGAATGAATTCTAATTTTCAGCTAGCGATGTTTCAGTGTAACCTTAGGCTAGAACGACCCTGTAGAGAATCAACCGAAACTTATCTTTATCACAATGTGATTCACATCTGAATTATTCTGTTATTTTCAATTTCTAAATATCGATACCACTACTTGATAAAAATTAAATCGAATAGATTCATTATATGCATTGATTATACATGGTGATTCGTGAATGCTGATGTTTAGAGAATGAAGTTTCTTAGGCCACATCGTATAATTGAATTGATTCAAGGTATTGATAGTAGTTTCTGGGACACACTATGATGCATTTCATGGTATACAGAGTGATTTATTGATCGAAAAAACTGCCAACTACAAAAAGAATTTTGAAAAACCATTTTTTTCTATCAACCTCTAATTCTAGATTGTCACCGTTGTGGTCAAATTTTTTTCCATCAATATACTGAGTTTGAATACCTCAATGGAATGAAGAATTTTCAGCTCCTTGTTATGACTAGTTTTTCATTTATGATGATTATAGAAGAAGTGAATACTTACTCAGATGAAATACCTACTGCTTCGAAACGAAAGATTACTTGCAAAAAATGTTACTCAAATATTTCTCTAGAAGACTTGAAGTTTCATATTGTTGTTGTTGTCCATTTTCCCTACCACAAAATTGACACACTTTGTCAATACATCTTAATACAGAGAGAGACACAACAATCTTGAAGAACTTCGTGCAACAACAGAGGCAATTCTTTGAGGATTTTGGGATAATGGACATCAATTTGAACAATTCTATGAATGAGTTCCTGAATAATTTCGAGATATAATTGTTTTGATAAATATTCAATCAGATGCTTATTATATACAATATGAACTTTTTATTATTATTTATTTGTTGCTATCAGGTAAGTTTCGTGTTTTGTTATTATTCAGTATTGGTATTGTCTTTGTCCACTTCATGGAAATATCAAAAGAAATATTTCTCCAATTGTAACTTTTTTCATATGAAAAACCAATACCAAATATTGAAATTCAATATTTTAGTGTCTGTGATGAATTTTGTTGATTTTATATTTATACATTATATCTAATATTGAAGGGATGAAATGAAGAACTTGATGAACTTATTAAATACAGGGTGATTCATTTGAAAAATCATAAGTTTGAGTCGTATTTCCAGAACCATACCCCGCAAAATATGATTGCGCAACTTGATCGTGCGTAAAATTTTCTATCCTCTAAGACCAAAGATTTAGTTCCCAGGGCCGTATTTAGTATAGGGTGCCAAATAAACAATGACACTTTTTTTGCAAGCCCATGATATTTGTATCTCCCATTATGATTTAATTGAATGAGAAATGTTGCGAAATCTTGGCATTTGTCTTTTAGCACAAGTCCTCTGTAAAACATGCCTCGTCCTACAGGATCGTATTTAATAAAACTGTATTTGCCAAAGTGCCGAATCGAATTGATTTTGTTATTACTTTCTTATTTCTTGTCCTATTTCAGTGGTTGTTTGATAGATGAATGTAGATTTCTTTGTGTACATATCAAAAGTGGTCACCATCTCAATATCCAAGATAGTCGGCCTAACATTTAATCTTCATGTAGGATATATCTCGTAGCTTTTTAGGAATTATAGTAACAGGAGAAGATAAGAACACGTTTCGATTGTTGAAATCGGTCATTTACTGTTTCAATTACCTAACTACTATCTAATTGAAACTTCATCTAATTCATTACTAACAATGTTGAAACCGATATTTACAGGGTGGTGAACAAAAAAGTCGAGCACTCACTATCAACATAATTCCCGAACACTTACAGCTGCTGGAGTATTGCATCTTGCACTGGACGATTTGCGGCATCTTTAATATGCTGTAACACAGAAGTCGATGAATAATTCACATTTTGATTATGGCGGGCGAATCCTAAATACCACAATATGCTACAAATATGAGCACATGTTCCTAGTGTCCTTGCCCCTGATTTGCAACTGCAGTAGTATCCTATTATCAATACATCTTCTTCATTATTCTCGTCTGGTTTTCATGCGGAGTGTATTGAATAAAAACTTGATATTTTTCTCTCCTCCTGAATCGAGAATACACTCTAAGTCTAATGAATCCAGGTTCATTCACTCTGAGATCAATTTCAATCGACTCATGATCATATCTAAGTATTGATTCTGTCTTGGATATAGGACGCTGATAATTTGATTTGATATGTTCCAAAAGTCACGTTTCTCAAGTAATCCATAGATAGGTGTGGAAATCGAGGAACATGCTCATTATAAAGTTGCTGCCATAATCCACGTCGATTAGATAAACGTTCTTCTTCTACCCGTTCTTGAACAATATTAATAAGATAAACGTTCTTCTTCCACCCGTTGTTGAACAATATTAATAAGATAAACGTTCTTCTTCCACCCGTTGTTGAACAATATTAATACCTGGCTAACACAGATCTTGCTAGTTCAACTGTAGCATTTGACATCAAAATTGGTGTATAATATCTATTGATAAGCGCCAATTATTATGGGAGATACAAAAATCATGGGCTTGAAAAAAAAGTGTCATTGTTTATTTGGCACCTATACTAAATACGGCCCTGAGCGCTAAATCTTTGGTCTTAGAGGATTGGTCACATGAAAACAGTTGATCAGGAACTCCATACCAATACCATATGTGAATTTCAGGCAAATCCCACTGTGGGCCAATTCCTTATGGTTTTGTGCGGGGTCCTTTCGGATGAATTTTGTCATGGTTAATGAATTCATTACATACTCATTCTCCACCACGCTCAACGAAATAATGTCAACAAAATTTCCAGAATGACCATTACATATGCTTGTGATTTGCATACCAATTTTGTATGTATATACGTTATGAAACAAAACTTACTTTAGATATATTTTTTTATCAATAACCTACGTAGCAAGTTCGTTGTTCGACGTCACCAGCCGTTTTGGTGAATATTCAATTTCTGAGAATATTATTTGCGCAGTTAATTTTCCAATTGCAGCCCGCAATTGATTATATTTAGAAATATCGAAATAATCCTATGAAATTCTTGATGCAACACAAACTTGCACTTGGCGTTCAATTGCGATTCAATTCCTTTGATGAAATGTTATCGACGTCAAGTTCATATGAAGCTGATGATAATCTAATAGATTTTCATAGAAACTTAAATGATCATGAACCCTCGATTATTCATCGAAATCAATTGAAATGTTTGATTCAAATATGAAAGAAGTGTGTGAGTTGATTGATATCTCAACACAACAGCATTTTTTCCTGCGTGTCATGATTTTTGTAATGAATTTTACCCGTTAAAATGATATCATCATTAATATTTTATTATCAATAATATCATTTCGGTCATCATCATTTCTGTATCACATCAAGTAACATATTTTCAACAACTCAAGTACGGAACCTTTCACCACTGCTTCCTGGAGACGATAAAGAACTACTACTTTCAAATGAATATACTAACTCTATAATATTGAGAACATTTTGAAAACAGCAATAAACATCAGAATGAAAATGAACAAAAATATAATAATCATTTATTTGCGTGGGTTGGAAATGATAAGTTCCAATGGATTCTGCACCACTCATTCTCCACAACTGGCTCAATTTTTCATGAAGCATATAGGACAGGCAGCATTATAACCTCCGTATGAGTGCCTCTCAATGGGGCATTGGCCACATTCATACCGTGTCTTGGTAAGCTGACTAATGGCTTTATTCTGACTAAATACTCTTGGTCAGTTTGGTATAAGCTGTATAATTGGTAAAGTTACCAGCTTGGTTTGGTACCGAAATTTGTTTCGTACCAGACTGAAATAGTATGATGACCAAGACGGTGTAAACATTTTGGACTTTTGTATAGCCTTGACTTGACTTGAGTGCAAGTGGCAGTTATTTCATGAGTTCTCATTATGATATTCCATTCAATTTCAGCTAATTTCGTATCCTACCCGAAGGTTTCTTTCTTAATTCTCCTTGGTAAGCATACCAACTACCCATTCCAGAGACTCGCGTGTCTTGGGATCACAGGAGCTATGCGTACGTGCCCTACTGCAGCAATGGAATCTATGCTTGACCTACTACCCTTGCATATTTTCATCAAGAGGACTGCAGCTCTCAGTGCATACAGACTGAACTCCACTGAATTGGCCAGACCAGGTGATGTCACTGGTCACATGGTCATTCTACAAGAAGTACAAATGGAATTTGCAACCACACCATCGGACAATGCCAGTCAGGCTCAGTTTAGATCATACCTTTGAAGTGGTTTTAAAAAGCCGCCCTAGGTACGGTTCCGCTGAGCCTCAGCTGGACAGAGGGTCCCTTGTTTGGTATACCGATAATTTGAAAATGAGAGAAGGGGTAGGCGCGGGTGTATATGGACCCGGATGTAGGCTATTTGAAGCCTTAGGTCACTCCCCCACTACCTTCCAAGCTGAAATACATGCCATCAACCTTTGCGCCCAAAGGTGCCTGAGCAAAGGTCTGAAGGGTGCCAACGTATATATCTGCTCAGACAGCCAAGCCGCACTAAAAGCCCTAAAATCATTCGTTTTCACATCAAAGATCACATAGGACTGCTTTGAAACACTCATGCAACTGAGAAAAGACAACAAAGTCACAGTTATGTGGGTTCCAGGGCATGAAGGAATCAAAGGAAATGAGGCAGCTGATTGCCTTGCAAATAAGGGTGCAACATCTGCACTTTTTGGTCCTGAGCCTTTTTGTGGGATAAGCAAATGTCACCTAAAGAAAGAACTCAGGAAATAGGAAGAAATTGAAAGGTCCTCCTACTGGAGAGCAACTCCAGGTCAAGTACAAGCGAAAAGGTTCATCAACCATTCGCAGAATCGAGCCAAAGAGCTAATCAGCCTCAGTAAACCGGAGCTCAAGCTTATCACAGGCTTTCTCACAGGACACGGCCCTCTGAGGTACCACCTCAAAAAGATGGGCCTTGCGGAGACTGACACTTGCCGCTTTTGTAACAATGTGACCGAAACCACGGAACACATACTTTGTTCATGTGAAGTATTAGTCCGCCAAAGGCTGAACCACCCAGAACAGGTCTATCTCACCCCTGCTGAGGTGGAAAATTCAACCGTCAGGAAAATTGTAGGCTTCATCAGAAGTCTAAGGTTAGAGGACCAAAACTAGATAAGGGTAATCACAATAGATCTTCTAGGTCGCAGTGATCGAGAGGTCTCCCAGCCTATACGACCCATCTACAATCTACATCTACATCTACCAACTACCCATACGGTATAAATGTGGCCATTGTGTCTATGGATATAGGCCGAGACAGCATACCTACACCAAGCAAACAAAGTAGGTGCGTTGATGTTTCGAACGTCATGTGACATACCCTTGATTTGTTTTAGGGATCTCAATACCCATGACGTGGTAAAAGTAAACGGTGAGTAGATGGCAGTGTGCAAGATTCCATTCTGAAATACCATGATGACACCATGAACACGCGAAACGAGAAGATTGAAAGGTGGAGTGCATGAAATTTTGTGAGATATCGTGTACGTCTCAATTTTATTCCTGCTGTCAATATCGTTGAACATGGAGATGTTTTGTTGTTCAGTGTTATTTGTATACTCAAAACCGTGTTAGCATATAAAATTAACACCCAAGTAAAATTCTAGGAAAATATTTGTGGAGAAATATTTAGATAAACCTAATCTTAATTCAATACTCACGTCGTTGGATGTTCAATTTCTCTGTGATTGAAAGGATCATAATCATCAGCCTCCTGAGATTTTCTTAAATCCTTGAGTTCATATGCGTTGTTGGTAGGTGTTAGAATTTCCCTAGAATTTATTGCTGCTGAAAAACTGAAAACATGAAATTCTGTTATTTTACCGACATGGCATCATGAAGTATCAAGCACACTGTTGTTTTCTTGATAATTTTTGATAATATCAAATTGTAATGTTGATACATCAAGTTCACAAATAGTTAACTGGCATAATGATGAGAATGAGCTGGGTTGGAATGATACCATTATTATATTATTATATTACAAAACATGATACATACATTTCCAGAAATAGAAATGGTTACCATTTTGGGGTTGTAGATAAGTGTTCAAACGGTGTAACTTGATTGATTAACTTGAATTGTGAATCATTCTTTCATTTCAACCTATAACAGGAATTGTATAACATAATAATATACTGTGTAATGCATCAATTTGTGCGTATTGAGAAGTATTTTCCTCTTTTAGCCTATGACAATGATGTAAATTGTTAGTATTCAGTAGGTAGAATTATTTTTTTTATAACAGCGCTGAAAGAACTGAGCATGTATGGTCATTCCGACTAGACATCTCGACTCGACAAGGGGACCCACAGATGAGTTCTGTTGCAGAATTTCTTTTCTGAAACGTATCAATATCTTATCACGGTAAGAAGAGATTTTTGTTAGAGTGGATTATCAACTTTCTCAACTAAATTGAGGTTATTAATATGTGTGTTATGATTGTGATTGAACCTATGTTCGGCTGCACACGATTTATTTAACTTACCATATTTCAAATGTGCTAAGTGTTCTTTGAACCTTGTTTTTATGACAAGGTATAAAAAATCGGTCTGATTCGCGATAGAACAGTGTGATGTAGTGTATTATCGTGCCAAAGGTTCCAGTATTCGATATCTAATCATACCCATTCAGAATTCAATAGAAATGAATCATTTGAAGAAGATGACTTTCAACTCAGATAGTTTAAAACGACAAATAACCTCATTATGAAGTTGACAAACTATATACATACAGATTATACCTGATATCCCACGAGATATTGCTTAATAATTATGAATCGGTAATAAAAACAAAACCTCATAAGCAGATTTCACACAACGTGGAAATGTTATACCAGACAGCTGTTTCGCTCTACCAGAGCTCGACTCTATGGTATTTGGTCTCTGACAAATAAACATACAAGCAAACATATACCTATATCTCAAATTTCCAAACAGTTTATATGAGCATAACCACATAGAAAATTCATTTTCAACCCGAATAATTCTTTGGATTTTTTCATTTCTCGCTTCGTATTTTTCGGAAAATTACTTGAGAGAACTAGGGACACTATATACTTTTTCTACACAATCTGACTTTCTCCAGCCTGAATGAACCTCCTTCAGAAAGGCTTATTTCTCGGAAAATATCCGTTTTGCATAGGAAAGGAGAATACGTTTTTCAAACAACCTACCTCTTCCAGGTGAAAGAGAATAGGATGCTGAAAATGTTATGAAAATGCCCTATCTTCCACAAATACTTAATGATTAACTCATCATCAGATGTCAAAATGTATGAGTGTTGTGCTAAAGAATCATATTCGATATCAACTGAGTACTTATATTGTTAGGTACTGTTTGATAAAAATGGGTTTTCAATTGTTCTAGTGTGATTACAAATTGTTGAACAAATATCTTTCTGGACAATGGCTAATAAAAAAGTAGTGATAGGTTATCAGTTTATCAACAGAAAAAAAATTCCAAAATATTCAGATCGAATTCAAGATAAATATTCTGATGATTCTACAAAGAACACAAAACATTCATAATTATTCTGAAAATAATGTTGAGAAAATCTAGACTACTTTCAACCGAAGATCTATACAGAGAGACGGGAATTTTGAAAACGAGAACTTTACGTTTATCACTGCCTGATTTTGATTTTCACTAACAAACACAAATTTGAACCCAGTAACACAGTGAAGGAAACGAGATCTGTCATGAATACTTCAATGAAAATACCAATTTACAGAAAGAGTCACACTCAAAGAGTCGTTTTCTACTATACGGTCCCAAGTTATTCGACCTATTGAGAATTAAGTATCAAGATAGTTACCAAACTACCACATTTCAAAAAAGAAATGAAAATATTCATTCCAGATAAACCAGAGATTTCAGACATTTTCAATTAACCTTAAAGTCGCCCTCCGTCGTCTCTCATTTCTTATCACATATTATTTTCTCATACCTCTTTGTGCGCTATGGTATTTCTATTGTATTCAAATTATATTGAACAGATAAGTTATTATCATTTCATAATTTTCCACACAATGATTGGAACAGAGCACAACAGAAGCATCCTGGAGGCTTAGGTGCATCTTTTCCTCCTTGACTGGTTTTCCAAAGACTATTCCACTCTTGATCTCGAGAACCAATCAGAATCGACCATTTTCACGGTTTCTTCTGTATTCTAGCGATTTTTTTGGTTATTAAATTTTATCGGACTTGCTCTACCAATACAGAAGCCGAATTGACCCACACGTGACCAACAAACCTCGTTTATCAGCGATAAAATTTTGGCATCGTGTCTGGTCAAGATTGCTTTGGATTCAAATCTGAGACAATAACCTAGGTACCTACTTCATTATATCTACTTAGTGGCGTTAGTGGGACATTTTGTACGAAATGCAAGACAATTTTATTCGGGCTGGACGTTCCACGTTCCATGTGTAATTTAAAAAATTTGCATATTTGTTGACGGTCTGACATAACAATACTAGAATTCAAATTCCTTTTTAAAGTAAACTTCTTCAATCACACAAGTTGATTACCAGATGATGTAGCTCAACTGATATGGTTGATGCGCGAAGATACGAAGGTCGATGGTTCGAGCCCCTCGGCGACGATATCTTATTTTTTTAATTATTTCTTGTCACATAATTTCAATTTATTTTGTTTGAATTGGATAGCAATAATTGTATACACTCTTTCGAGAGCAACCATCTCCAAGATAATGAAAAAAATACTGTTTATCAAAATTGTACAATCCACTTTGTGAATAACTATAAGTAGGTAGTTAATTTCTAAAAAATTGAATTCTGTATTTCATTACTATCATTATGTTCTTCTTCGCAGTTTGAGTTGGAATATACTCAAATCATGTTTCCTATTTCTCATTATATTGTCTCATACAATCATGAAACATTCATACGAATACAACTCGTGATACTATTTTTCCTGGAAATATTCGTCGATTGACATACTCCAGCTTGCTGCTCTAATTGCGCTCATGACATTGATCCAAAACTACTCGCCTACGGCTCGTAGTTTTGATAACAAGGTCATTCACGAAATTACTAGGCAACAAGCTGTCGTAACAATCACCGAATATTTCCGGCAAAATATTATCACTTGTGATATTACATATGAATAATGTATCTATATGAATTATTACTTGTAACTGTTGCTGAATGAATTGAATTGAAGTGAATTGGTTCAAAAACTGCGTTGGGACCAATGAAAACCAAAAAGTGAAGTCATGTAATAACGATTTTTCCAATTGCATCATCATAGATTGTTTAATCTATGGCATTATTCACCACAGGCGTCTCAATCGAAAATTCTGAAGAGGTTTATTCCATAACAGATGGCATGAATAAATTGCACCCCATGTAGCTAGATCACTTTTATCGAAATAGTATCATGCTGACGATAGTAAGGTGCTCATTAAATTTCAAATCGACAGCATCACAAAAATCAAACTTCTGGTTTATATCTTGAATTGACTCGGCCGTTACTTGATGGAAATCCATGAAAAATGTATAAACTTCACAAACGACAAGATTTCCACAAAATTCTCAAACACACGACGTGTTTCGCTAACACAGTAGCTTCGTCAGGTGATATACTGGTACAATGAACTAAACTAACGTTGGCTTACTTAACTTTTATATATCTTACTTTCCCAACCTGAAGGATTAGTTACCTTTGAACAGGTACGATAAACCTCCATTTTCGGAAATTAGGCACAATATTTTCATTTAAATACGGTATACCGGATTAACTTGAAAGGGTTGATAGCAAATACATATCATTACTTACTAAGAAAACAAATCCAACAGTGGTGAACTATTGAGGTCTAATTGATCATCAAGTAAAACGTCAAAATTTTTTAGTTTGTTGATTTCTAATGATTCAAAATGATTGAGTTTCAGTCCTTTATTTTCTACGTGCAGAATTTCGAAATCACATCAGAACTATGGTTTTCTTCTAATATATATGGTTGACGTATGTTGAATTTGGTTTCTTTTTCATAAAATCCATCTAATGTTCATGAATGCGCTGCTTAAACATACGACCTGTCTGACCGATATACAGTATGATGCAAATGTATGGAATAAATTCATTTCAAAACAAGACGACTTCCGAAAAAAAATCCAAAAAGTAGAGTTCAGAACTTTTTTATCGATGTATTTTTTCAACTAGACGACCCTTCGATGTTCAATTCTCAGTAGAAGATCTCTGCAAGATTCAGTTAACCAAATGATAATCCATTTCAATTTCAATCTTCTTTTGCAAAAGTTCTTTATTGAAATTTACTTCCGAAAGAGGGACATTCATTAGCCTGTGTATCATACTATTATATGCTGCAATTTTATGTTGATAAGGGTGTGTTGGATTATTATGAATAGTGATATCGGTGTGGGAAGGTTTATGGACAATATATTGTGCCCAATTTCCGAAAATGGAGGTTTATCGTACCTGTCCAGAAGTAACTAATCCTTCAGGTTGGGAAAGTAAGATATATAAAAGTTGAGCAAGCCAGCGTTAGTTTAGTTCATTGTACCAGTATATCACTTGACGAAGCGACTGTGTTAGCGAAATATGTCGTTTGTGAAGTTTTTAGATTTCTGGTTTATATTCAAGAACAACACCAACATTGAATTCATTTTTTTTTTCGACTATAAACGACATAATATGTACTAAATGTATAATAATTAATGAAAGATCATCTGAATTCACTGACTGATGCGTAATTCTCGTATGGAAACACAATCGTAATTTGTTTCATCCATCAATATCCAATTATGAATAAATATTGGTATATATTTCTGACAAAAAATATTAACAACTGACGTTGCGATGCTTAGTATAGGTATCTGTAGAAATCCAGATACCCATCAGAAATTATATTCCTTTTTCTGCGATATCTAGCTAAGCAAGGTATTCAATTATGCCTGAGGAAATCTTTCTAGATGTATGAATAGTGAAAAGTGACAGGTGTGTCAAAATGTCGAATGTTAATACCATTTTTGATTTAGAAAACCAAGAGAGTAAAAGGAGTTGTATCATCTATAAAAAATAAAATTATGGATCTTTGACATCTTTGAATGTCATTGTCGTATATCCAAAGCCGAAAATTATTGTTTTTATAGATAGCTTCATTGAGCTCCACCTGACGATGGTGACTGAGTAACTCAAAGTCTTGTCCAGGCAATTGTTCTATTTCTTCAACTGAAGGTTCATTTTTCTCGTAAGTATACGTATACTTAGAATTCAACCTTATTTTCGTCTGTTGATCAGTACAAGAAATACCTGAGTAAATGGATGAAATATCACGCATATATATCATAAAATTAACTTAATAATTGCATTATATTTGTTGGAACAGATTTCATGAACATTTATTATATCATTGAATCATAAATTCATAAACCTCTATTATAATAAACTTGATAGGTTCATTATATCCCTCGAGAAATAATAAATTCAACGTGATGAATAGTCAGGAATACTTTCGAATGAAAGTACTTATTTTTTCATGTTCTGGTTCCCACGGAGTGGAATATCCTGAAATGTTCAGAGAACATCGTGAGAACCAAGGAAAAAAATGTAAAAATTGGTGTTCTCCTTGAATTTCTGGAGGTTATATGCCTCGGGGAACACCTCCCTTGGCGGGGAACACCTCCCTTGGCAATGTGTTCCAGAGCCTCGCTGTTCCATCGTTGGATGAACGAGTCATTGGAGAGAGATGTTCTGCAGGTCTCCAAAGTGACCACGAAGGGGTGCGAAGCCTCAACTCGACGGGTTAATCTCGCGGGGACTGCCAAGGGAGGAACAATTGTTGAAATTTCAGAAGAGCATCGTCCACTTCATTAGAATTAAATATCAATAATTCACTTCTCAAAGTCATGTTCGTTTTTTATTCATTCAAAGGACTATCAGAATAGTTGATGAAACGAGTTTTTGGCAAATAACTTTTGATACAATGAGAATATCGATGGGGTTTGTTTTTTATTCACGCATCGAATGCCAATATACAGGGTCTCTAATTTGGAATAACAAGAATATAGTGCTTTGAAATTTGAAAAGTTTGCCACCAAATTTTCCATCAAACTCTACTAGCGATCCTCTTAGGCCTTATTTGATGTGTATCTCTTATTATTCTATTGACCAAGCACTCTCTTATTTTTAATGTTTTTGACCAGTGGTGGAGTATCTAGGTAACCACTAGAAGCACTCAAATGTGCAACAAAATATATGGCATGACATTTAAGAAAATATATCATTTTGACGTCACAGTGTTTTTTGGACACCCTTTATAATCGGAATTATTATCCTGGTATGCGCCCTATGATTCGATTGGAATCTGCGAAATATCAATATCCTGACTCAACTGATAATGCTGTGATTTATAGAAGACGGGAGGTGAGATGCAGGACCCTGTATATAGAAAAATCACATCAATTATAAGGCGTACAATATAATTATTGTTTACTCACAGATCTTCATATTTTGATCAGAAGCATACTCATGACTTATCTGATCATTATAATATAATAGAAACCATATCTGATATCGACAAATGCAATCAAAGTCATGCCATTCGTCTAATGCTCGGATTTCTGTATACTGAAATTATGAAATCAAAAAATATATGTTCTCACACATAAGTTCGAGAGCAAACTACAAAGAGAATATTTTGTTTCATCATTCTCAAAAGTAGTTCAGCACAAAAATATGTTCGTAGTGGTGAATATATCGGGTACCCGTAGCTTAACAGAAATAGATAATTCATACATAAAGAAACACTTTTGTATTCTCAAAATGAAAATGATGAGAAATAACTATGCAAACTTCCATTTTGCTCAAATATCAAAATCCCCTGTGGCGCCTCACGCTGGATGTATCATGTTGACCACCCATGGTGACATCAAATATCAAACTAAAATTTATGGAAACAGCTTTGAAAATGGTTAACAGTTATGGAACAAGAAATTGAGGAAAAACCCCAAGAAACTATTGATCATGCTTCTGCAGTGATTTTCCACTTGCTACCATTGAGATCTAGAAATCTGTATGATGCAGCTTATACTCGCTTCAGAGAAGGGTGTTCTGAAACGAAAGCGCAGAGCTATGCGGAAAATGTAAAGTTACAGTATTTTTTTCTGTGACAGAAGAAAGGACGAATCAATATTGAGAAGATATTACATCATTTTGAAATCTGAAAATTATCGACGTGAAATTTCAAGTTTTTAAAGTAGGGACACCAGCGTTGTAGGCATCTTTATCATTCTTTTGAAGTAATCAAATATCTGATGTCACTTCTGTCAGTCTAATTCTGTGATTAAGTTTCAAAAAATTGCGAATTTCTTAGTTGTTTAGTAATATACGTAACCGCGAAGTCGAATGGAAGATAAAAGGACTTGCAGTTCTTTCTCAGACAGTATTATTGACTCATTTTTCGGAACTATAGCACAAAGAAAGCCATCAACAGTGTATATAGATGTGATATATATATCCGGGAAAAAAGTACTCACTTTTTCCCCACGGGAAAAAAGTAATTTAAGAAAAGTGACATTTTATAACCTGCCAACAGAGATGGAATGCCAAACTTTTTTGCCGTCACAGAAAAAAATCTATTGAAGTGACTCGACAAACTCCAAACAAAAATCGAGAAGTTTCCATAAACCGTTGTAACTAATCTAGAAGGCCCTATTTCATCAGCCATCAACTAAAGTTTACTCACGTTGCCGTGGATATAAGCAAACCAAGTTTTCGATTGTCTATCGAATGTTCGATGCAATCATTTCTTTCTTCGAGAAATCGAAGATTTTTTTAATGATCTCATGCAATATAATATATTCCTCCACTTCGATATGTTTTCGAATCCATATAATATATGGTTTGGTGGTTCAATGATATTGGAAATAAAAAAATTGGAATATATTGTATGTGAAGAATATTTGCTTCAACTACGATTTCAAGTTGGAAACTGTAGGGATGAACTGTAAATATGATTTTCACAATATTTTTGGTCATTGGATATGCATGAACCACTGTTGGTATATCATATATGCAGAATTAGATACGAACCTGCTATAACTATCTGTCCTAGCATCCTCAATGAAACCGAGGTTCTTTCGTCCACTCATAATATCCTCACTATAATATACTGTAACCGTTGTAACTCCTCAATTTATTCTGTTCAAGCGTTCGCAATTCACACATCAACTGACATTCACTACAGTTTGATCGCGATAGCTGAGAATCGAATAGAGTAAAATAACCTAAAAAGTTACGTAGTTACTATGAGCTATGAGTAATTTAGATATAACAATAATTTCAGTGAATCCTGCGACTTGAGACCACAATAATATCGACAGTACGAAAATATTTACTCTCATTATTTATACAGGGTGTTTCAGATTTGAAAATACCGTCAGATGTAAAAACCTTGTCGGGGATGGAAGTTATCACTCATAATATGGCACTGAAGCTCGATTATTAGGGTAAAATACGAATAAATGCCGCACTTTTTGTGAAAAAAAAAACTCGAGTAGGTAACTAAAAATATGTATTTCAAAAAACATACGATAATTCTATTATCTATTTTCAATTGAAATATTGGTCATGAAACAACTTAAAAAAAATCTACTACTAAGAAAAATAACGAAAAGAAAGTGTTTTTTTACAGCCATACGGAGAGATGCCTAATATTGATTCCCATAAGGGAGAGATGCCGCAATTTATTGTTGTATAGTTCTTCACGTTTGAATGGGTTGCAAGTGTTCAAGTACATGGTACATGTCTCATGCAACCAGTATTGTTGCATCTTATGCAGCAAATCCAATCTACTGTCTTGGAGGTTCAACTGTAATCCTCAAAACATTTCACGCAAAAAATTTTTTGTCAGTATCTTGCTCAACTGATTCAGGATTTTGGTTTTTCTTCAAATCGGATAAGGGATTCTCATCTTCGCTGTCGAATTTTTCTTTTTATGTTCTGGTTCCCACGAAAAGGGATATCCTGTAATGTTCAGAGAACATCGTGAGAACCAAAGGAAATCAGGTAGGAATTGGTGTTCTTCATGAATTTCTGGAGGTTATATGCCTCGGGGAACACCTTCCTTGGCAATGGACATCGTGAGAACCAAGGGAAATAAGGTGGGAATTGGTATTCTTCTTAAATTTCTGGAGGTTATATGCCTCGGGAAACACTTCCTTGGCAATGTGTTCCAGAGCCTCGCTGTTCGTTGGATGAACGAGTCTTTGGAAAGAGATATTCTGCAGGTCTCCAAAGTGACCACGAAGGGGTGCGAAGCCTCAACTCGACGGATCAATCTCGCGGGGACTGCCAAGGGAGGTACGATTGTTGATATTTCAGAAGATCATTGTCCATGAAAATATCTATAAAAGAGAGCCAGATCACCAACTTTTTTACGGTGTTCCAGAAAAGTGAGTAAGTTTGTGAGCGAGGCATCACCCACGAGACGAATTGCCCTTTTTTGGGCAGAATCCAACAGTTTCAGGGTATATTTGGGTGCTGCACTCCAAATATGGGAACATTTATTCCAGGACAGGTCGGATCTGTGCCTCATAGATCATAAGCAGATGACTGGAAGTGAAATAGCTCCTGGCCCGAAACAGAAAACCAAGTTTTTGGTATGCACTTCTCGCAATTGATCTTACGTGATTTCCCCAAGAAAGGTTATTGCTGATAGTGATACCAAGCATCGAAATGGATAAATGGAGGTCTTCAAAGGTATGGTTAGTCCTGAAATGCTTCTGTTTGGCACAGTGAGACCGGCTTTTCTAGAGAAAAGGCATGCTTGTGTTTTGTTTGCATTGAAATCTACCAAGTTATTGGATCCCCATTCGAGAATTGTTGCTTAGTCCATATTTATGTTGTCAACATTTCTCCCTCGTTCGTTTTTATTCGATGTTCTATGATCTGTAGAATATAAAATTATGCTATTCTATCCCTGAAAATTTTGTGGCATGTGGACCTCGTCCTCTCGTGAGATTTCTATATATAGCATCGGGGATTCGTGCATCTATAGTTGAAATTATCCAAAATTTACCACCACTTGTGTAATTTCTGTTAACAAACCCAACTTCTTTGTCATGAATAATCACCTGTTTACGCAAAATTGAAATTTTTCTCTCTTCTTTTCATTTTGCAAAACGGCATATTGACGAGGTGTACTATACGCAACTTTTGTCTGATTTGATCAACGTTCTATCTATCACCGTTTAGCAAATATTTTACTCAATTAATTGAAGTATTTTTGACCGATTTGTGATCGTGTCTATGATCCAATGAAATAAGGACCCATCGAAGTTAACTGGAATAAAAATAGGAATAATACTATTTAATCGAGTACAAGATAACAGTAAGAAAATAATTATAAGCTTGAATCATGTGATGATAATTTGTCCTTAAAATGAAGTATATAATCAGTTAATACTACTTGTGGCTCATTAATCGAAATCATGTGTTATTCACTTGTTGTTATGAATATTATATAATCAGGGGATTTTCCTGTATGTTTATTGTGGAGAAATTCTTATTAACTTGGAGGTGAATATATTTAACATATATTGTTTTCCATTACCACGTCGAAACTTATCCAGGTTACGAAGGAAATCAGTGAATGCATCACCAGGTCCGTACCTAGGGCAAGGCAAGGAAGACCCTGGCAGCAGTCGCTAGACCCTGACATAAATACTTTTTTTTCTGTTCTGGTTCCCACGAAAAGGGATATTCTCTGATGTTCAGAGAACATTGTGAGAACCAAGGAAATAAGGTAGGAATTGGTGTTCTTCTTGAATTTCTGGAGGTTATATGCCTCGGGGAACACCTCCCTTGGCAATCTGTTTCAGAGCCTCGCTGTTTGTTGGATGAAGGAGTGGAAAGAGATGTTCTGCAGGTCTCCAAAGTGACCACGAAGGAGTGCGAAGTTTCCACTCGACGGGTTAATCTCCCGGGGACTGCCAAGGAAGGAACAATTGTTGATATTTCAGAAGAGCATTGTCCACGAAAATATCTATAAAAAAGAGCCAGATCACTAACTTTTCTACGGTGTTCCAGAGAAGTGAGTGAGTTTGTGAGCGAGACGAATTGCCCTTTTTTGGACAGAATCCAACAGTTTCAGGGTATGTTTGGGTGCTGCACTCCAAATATGGAAACAGTATTCCGGGACGGGTCGGATCTGTGCCTATATCTGGAACGCTGAAAGTATGACACATCTCAGTATCCCGGAATTCTCATCCAAATCACCTGACATCAAATCCCATTGTCTGATTAATAGATCGTTATCTCCAACCTCTTTGTAGTGATGTAAAATCATTGAAAACTGATCGGGATGTCTGGCTGGGAGAACAAGAATTTCTCTTTCACCCTTATCTCTTTGAAGTCCTTGGTTAAAAGTGAGTGAATAAACTTTGTTCATTTGATTTCGGATTGGACTGTGATCTCTCTTTGACACAATGGAATTTTAATCACGTCAATATCTTGTTTTGAAGATAAGATACGAGTGTTTTAGGAGAGTATGTTTTTTTCAAAATTCTCATCAACAATATTTTTTTTCTACTACTGCTATGAAAAGTAGCGCATGACGGATAGAACAATTTTAGAACAACAACAACAACAATGTCACAAATGCGAAAGTGCTTATAGATATGGAGAGTATGATGGAAAGCATATATTATGTTATGAATATCAATTCCTCTGTCTGTAGTTATTTTTTACTTTATCTTTAAATAACTAGGTAATTTAAATTGTGTCATAGTTGTTTACAGTTAGTTATGTATCGATGATGATTGAATTTTCAAAATTATAATAAACTAGCATCTATTCACCCTATCTCATCACCCTACTCTTTCACCATCTCAATAATATTGATTCCTACCAGGTGATAGCGATAACAAAAAAACACAGGAATTATACAGGGTGATTCATTAGGAAATGCACATACAGTAAGGGTTAATATGGAATAATCAATATTTCATGGGTCAATCATTTTATATAACCAAGATACAGGGTGATTAATTGTTTTTCCCCATTATTTCAATTATTCATAACTCATGAACAACTCTATATACATTTATCAGATATTGAATTTTCTTTGTCCACAGGGGTGACGATTGCCATAATGAAAAAGTCTTATTTCAGGCCCGAATGAAGTTGAAGAATATTAAGGAGCAGTTATTTTATTATGTGATTTCCACGTGGCCTTATAGGTATGTTTGTTTCTCAATATCTTATTATCCTTGAAAACTAAATATCTTTACAGGTACTGTGTATTGTGTCTGCAGATGGCTGTTTGAGCCGAAACTAGTCACAAAAAGTCAATTTTTGTAATGAAACTTTGTGGTCGACCGACTCAGTGAATGTTGTTTTTCCTTTGAAAAATCCTGAACCACTTTGAGAAGGATGGATAGTTTCCATGACTCATTTTTTATTTTCCTAATTTTCTAATCCCAACCTAATTGAAAACGAGAGGACATGTCTGTATTTGTAGCTCCATATTATATACACTGTAAGAAATACTTTTGAGTGACTGCAAATTTGGCAATGAGTTAATCTACTGAGTGAATTTTTTGAGTAAATTTTCAATGAAATCTGAGTATTTTCACAATTCCTTCCAATTATGACAATGTTCATGACAAATTTGATTGAATAGCACAAATTTTGGAATAAAACAAACAAGAAAACCATATTAGAGTGCGGCTTTTACTCAATCAATAGATGAAACATGTGAGAATCACTCATTATCGAGTCAGTCATCTCACTGTCCCATTCCCTTTTCAACGTGCAAACAGTGAACAGTGTATTCGGGAATAACATGATGACCTTTCAAAGTCACCACAATTATTATATGTTTTAATTATTCTGAATGAAGAACTTCGGAGTAAAGGAATGTCCGAATATCTCTGTGGTCATCAGCGAGGAAGACTCGAGCCAACAGAGGCCGTTTTGTCCAATTGATAACGCAGCGTCAGTCTTGATCTTGATGGAAGTGCTGTGCATAAAAACAATCCTGTGCTTTCCATTTCAGCGAAGTGAATTATAATTGAATAGAAGTACTAACTGCAAGTTCAAGCAAGAAACATGTTATCAGCATGATTATCTCTGTGAAGTTTGGGAATACTTACTGCGGGTAAGTTTAATTTCGTAAAATACATTATGGCTTTCAACAACATGGCTGATGATCGTGAATTGTATCAAATAATTCGAATACTCATTTGGATGGTGTGATTCTTGAAAGTTGTATTGTATATATAGTGTTGATTTATATCCGATTAGGTACCTTGACGTTCAGATAAATCAATATACGTATTCTTCTGTTGAATAGTCCATATCGCCGTTGATGTCTTCCACAGCCATGCACGACCACGTGTATGTTTGCTTTTCACTCAATAGTGACTGAAAATCAATCAAATGAGAGTATTTCAAATCAGAAATGAGTAAATGTAATCATCATTGATCACATTATTTCCAAATTAGGTATATTGAATCTTAATTGAGAAAGTGTTATCAAAACTGACACTGAATAATTCAATTGTGATCATTCATGAGATCGATAAAATATTTGTTTGAAACGTTATTCGTGAATTTGTCTCTAGGTAAAATACCCAGAACAAATGTGCTCTGACGAATACATTTTTGAATCAGCTGTTTATATATGCATTTTTTTTTGTCTGCAGATTGATGTTACTGTCAACGTGTCAACGAGCTTGTTAGTAAGATTCTGCAGCGAGAAGAAGCCATGCATACTTGATTTCGGGAGGCGAGACCGCATGTACTGATGATTTCAAATTGGGTTAGATTTGTTCTTTATTAGGAGTTAATTGTGATTGTAATTGTATTGTAATCTACTCTGATTGTTAATAAACTTTTGTACTATATATCATATTTACTCAATATATAAAACCAGTCATAGAAAGTTTAAAAATACTCATTTTGGGTATAAAAGCACACAATAATGGGCATATACATAATAATCAATAAATGTTCTAGGCACTCAAAAATGAGTTGAAACTCACTCAAGAAATCGCAAAGCTGAAATAATATTCAAATCTGAACTGGAAACATTGACTCAATTGTGATTCCTTAATTCACTCATTCAATTACAATCTCACTCAGTCAAGTAGAGTGAATTTTCAACTCAATCGGGCGTGGACCGAAATTGATACATTATTGAGTGAAGTTTGAGTGAAAATTCACTCTTTTTTTTTTTCAGTGTACGTATACGTTCTAGAAAACTTTGAGGACTCGATATGAGAATTACTTGCTCGTGATACTCTTGGAATTACTTGAGGGATTTCTGTTTCAGGTTAGGTTAGGTTAGGTTTATAGCCTATATCTCTTCATTTTTTCATTTATTTACTACTCACTTCTTTTTAGTTTGGCTATCTATCATTGGAAGATACCTCGGAATATACTGACAACTGAGCTCTTAAAAATCTAAAAAGAAATTGCATCAACTTCAAAATCGGAATGATTTTTCTCGCTATTTGCAATCCGGAATGAATTCACCTCGCTGGATTTAAATGAACGCATCCATTACCCAGATGACAACTTTTTTCAAGCTTATAACTAGCATAGATTTAACTAGTAACGACTAGCACTGCTAGTCGACAGTCGAACGATTGGAGCGTTCTTCGCAATGTACGCCAAGTCGACAGTGGAATGCAATGGTTACAAATATAGAGGAACTCAAAGTCATTACCACAATAGTTCATAAAATGAACGAAAATGGTAGAAAACGAGAGAAAAATAACTACTTTCCTGGCTATATGCCACGCAGATGTAATCCAATGTACTGGATTTTGAACATTTGTCATCCATTTTTGATATGCATATATTATGATTTTATATGTCTTGTATAATGTGAATTTGTCCTCATTGATCTAAGCAGTTGTGTTATTGAAGTGAGAAATTCTAACTGCGTATAAAGTAATAATCAGTTTTTGAGTCAAAATGAAGTTTTTGAGAGGTAAATAAGAAACATTCCCAAGCGTTCTATTTGTAAAATATTCATTAATAATATATAAATCTTGTAGTTCTTTCTTAGATATCTAGATAACTCGAATAATGGTTTTGATTCATTTTCAATGTTACATAGAGACGTTCAATCAAAAATAAAATATTACATATTTACAATTATCCCTATAAAATATTATTTACATAAAGCGATCTGTTTCATAATTACCGTCAGTCAAGACGTTGCAAGGAACCAAAAATACTACCTACTAATATACACAAATATAGTCAATTCAAAATGTGAAACATGTTCAGCTACTAAAATAATTAAAGCTTCATGATCTCAGACTGACTATAAACTGGGAAATTATATGATAAGGTCGAGATTATCTTAAAATAGTCAAATTACAGTTATAATAATTCTTAAACTTATCAAAAATGAGATGTCAATATAATATATAAAATAATGATGAGGTACATTGTTGAAAAATGAAGAATGCAGATGGATATAAATAACAATGAAATATCATATTATGCACAAACGTATCTGATGATCTAGTGTTACTTTTTTGATATCGCCATTTCGGCTCCTCAATTCATTCATCAGCATCAAAAGATTGTCAAAATGGATTGTCAAGCACCAGACCACATGAGCAACTCTCAATATAGTTATGAATTTTTCTTTCTCTTATCTGTCAGTGAATTAATTATGTATCAAAATGGTATACTTCCTGAATTCCTTATTAAAATAGAGCATTGATATACCTACACCATTTTCCAGCTAAAATGTCCCTCTCTGTGAAAAATCAACCGTGCGGTCGACTGATTTGAAATTTTGGTCACCCAGTATATTTATTGATGATAATTCGGGAAGTAAATGAATCAATTGGATGTATACAGGGTCACATAGAATTACACTCGAACTTTTTTGTTTGAATTGACCACCCAGTATATTATTCCATATTTGAGTAGAGCACACTATCACCATACAAGTCGAGCAATACCGAGTTTGATGAGATTTTTCCAAACAAGTACGGAGATATAGTCAAAGAACTGTCAGAATAATGGCAGCGGAAGAAAGTAGATCTCCAATAATGAAGTAATAATAAATAATTATTAAATTTTCATGCAATTACAGTTGTGATGTTTTAATGAAATACCTATAATTATTACTCATTCTTTATTAGAAGAAAACCCAGTTTTGTTAGATTTGTGATGATGAGCTTTACTTGAAATTAAATAAATATTCTGGATGTCCTTATTCAAATGAGAAAACTTTGGAGCACTTTGATGCGGAGTTATCCTGTATACATTCGATCAAATCTCAAGTGATTCGATGAAGTGGTTGAATTTTCACAAAGGAGGGACATCTGTTTTTCGACACAGTGTCCATATACATTCCAAAAATTCAATATTTTGATATTGGGTTATTTACTCATAAATGTTTTGTGTTGCTTATTTGTGATCTGGCATAAGTATTATAGTCAACTTTCCAACGTCAGCTACTCTAAATCATCCAAACTTTGTTCCTATATCAATGTCCAAAATATCTACAAATACCCTACCTATACAAAAACATATTAGTAAATATCACGTAGTCGAGTTCGAAGAACCGAACTTTTCTACGATCTTCTCGAGACTGGTGGAAGTACCGACGATGAGTCCAGAGATGGCGAAGAGGATGATGAAGCAGTTCTTGGAGATGATTACGAACCCACGTGCTCCCTTCAGGGAGTACCAGTGGGTACTCAGGTCGATTATCGCTGGGAAAGCCAGTCCCAAGACCGACAGACTGACAGCACCCACCAGGGAGATGAAGAGGTCCACATAGGGGATAGCTACGGCTAGGCAGACTGGAAACATTTGGGAATTAGTCAACTGAAATTAGTCGGGAAAAAGCCAAACTGCGGAATATTTCAAAGAAGAGTGAAAACTTCACAAACGATAAGATTTCCACAAAATTCTTAAACACACAACACAATGTTTCGGTAACACAGTAGCTTCGTCAGGTGATATACTGGTACAATGAACTAAACCAACTTTGACTCAACTTTCCCAACTTGAAGGATTAGTTTAGTGATTCACACGAGACCAACGAGACGAGACTTTCATGAAGTCTCGTCTCGTCTCGCCGATGAAATATGAAGTCTTGTCTCGAGTCTCGTCTCGCAGTCCCGAGTCTCGTCTTGTCTCGCGTCTCGTACGAGAGTCTCGCAAATGTATCGCAATTTCGTCATGCATAATCTTGTTCCAGTCTAGTACGGGATATTTACTTTTTCCTACTTTTTGGGTATAATGTAGAAGTAGGAAGAGAAAATCACACCAAAAATAACATCATTTATTGAAAAGTAAGTACATAATAGGTACATACTTACATCATACATCTTAACAAGAAAAAAAAAACAGCATTATATATTCGAAAGTTATAAAAATGAAATAAAAAGTAACACGTATATTCTAAACAAATGAACAAAACAAAAACTTTAATCCAACATTATTCCGCCGTTAGAGAGAGAATAGTCCGTTTTCGTTTCACGTATTACTTCTTTTTACAACAATCACGAATTGTGTATTTAAAGTATTTATGAATTAAATGTTTTGTCTCTCTGTGCAAAATAGTCTGAATTCTTTCTAAATATGTTGAATTATGAATGAAATTCTCAAGTCTGCAGTCGCCACGCAGAAATATTTACCTGCCAATCTCTCGCACGAGACACGAGAAGTCTTGCACGAGACTCGAGACGAGACCAATAAAAGTCTCGTCTCGTCTTGTCCGAGTCTTGTCTCGAGTCTTGTCTCGAAAACGAGACGAGACCATGCGAGAATCACGAAAACGAGACTCTCGCGGGCACCACTAGATTAGTTACCTGTGGACAGGATTGATAAACCTCTATTTTCGGAAATTAGCCACCATATATCTACATTAAAATACGGTGTATCAAATTAACTTGAAAAGAGTTGATAGCAAATGAATATTACCTACTATGAAAACAAATTCAACAGTGGTGAACTATTGTGGTCTAATTGATCGTTGAGTACAATGTCAAAATTTTTGAGTTTGTTGATTGCTAATGATTCAAAATGATTGAGTTTCATTCCTCTATTTTCTTCATGTAGAATATCGAAATTGTCATCAAAACCATGGTTTTCTTTTAATATACCTATGGTTGGCGTATGTTGAATTTGTTTTCTTTTTCAAAAAAAATCATCTTATGTTCATGAATGCGCTGATTAAACGTACGACCTGTCTGGCCGATATATACGTTAGGACAAGATCCACAGTTGAGTTTGTATACCCCTGATTTTCCGAATCCAAAATATTTTCAAAACTGGTTGGAATATACAGGGTGATTCAGGTTTTGAGGCACAAACTGAAATGGAAGATAGATCTCATCATTTAAATCAAAAAAGTTTATATAAACATTAGTCCGATCTCGTTCAATAGCGAAGCTACAGGGAGTCAAAACTTAATAATTTTTTTCTATTAATTGAAATATCTCGCTTACTTTTCAAGACATCATTTTGAAATTTGGTGTGGTCAATACTTCCTAGATCATCATTTCAAGCCATTTAAAGATTTTCAAAATCTACAGGATGATTCGGTTCTGGGGGGAGAGGCTTCCTTATTCCCCCCAAACTTTTCCGTAGTACGCCTCTGGCATCTTTCAGTGATCAAATTGTGTGGATCATTCAATTCAGAATCTTTTTTTGGTCTTCAATTTTTTTCGAGAAACGAACCGTTTTTGAGATAAATAAGCATATACGTTCTAAAACATGTTAATTTTGCCTATGTTTCGCTTATATTTCATTCATCTGAAAAAAAAACTAGACTTTTTGCCCTCTGTATCCCATTTACTGATCCAGATTGGACTCGTGATTGCAATTTTAGTGAGTACATTTCATTGCACTTTCAACGAAAATTAACATGTTTTAGAACGTATATGCGTATTTATCTCAAAAACAGTTCTTTTCTAGAAAAAAATGAAGGTATAAAAAAGCCTCTAAATTGAACGATCCACACAATTTAATCACTGAAAGATGCCAGAGGCGTACTACGAAAAAGTTTGGGGAGGATAAAGAAGTCTCTACCCCCAAAAATGTATCACCCTGTAGATTTCGAAAATCTACAAATGGCTTGAAATGATGGTCTTCTAGAAAGTATTGATCACACCAAATTTCAAAGCGATATCTTGAAAGGTAAGCGAGATATTTCAATTAATAGAAAAAAATAATTTAACTTTGACCCCCTGTAGCTCCTCTACTAAACGAGATCGGACTGATGTTCATATAAACTTTTTTGATTAAAATGATGAGATCTATCTCACATTTCAGTTTGTGCCTTAAAACCAGAATCACCCTGTATAACAATATCCAATGCCATAGCAGATTCAAAGATGTCCATAGCTATTCCACCAGTAATAGCTCCCAACTCATTAATTCTAGATTTCGTCCCAATATTTCATGAACAAACTGAATTCATCTTAATTTAATAAAGTTCCATAATCATTCAAAAAGTTCAGCTCCTCTGAATCTGAATCAGCTATCTAACAGGGTTTGCCCACTGCTATTTTTATGTCATATTATACATACAGGGTGGGCCACCAGTAACGCCTCGGTCTCTAGAAGGCTAACCACTTATCTTCTTGGAATTCTTCCTCCCTAGGAAGTTGCATGTCAACATTGGCTACCATTTGAAATTATTTTGAAACATACAGGATGTCCCCAAAAATCACAAAACACTGAAGTTGAACTTTTTTCTATCGAACACCCTATATATTATTTCATTTTGAGATTCTCCCGGGTGAGCTGATTTCAACAATCCATCATACTCAGGGTCTAGCAGTTATAATTACTGAGATATAGGGTGTGAGAAATCGAGATTTTCCAAGTTCAAGAATTTTTTCTTATATCAGTAGATAGTTGATCAAAAGTTGAGAGGGACATGTAAGCCGTTTTGACCAATTATGAATAGTTTCGACACAAAAAATTCTTGAACTTGGAAAATGTCGATTTTTCACACCTTATATTTCAGTAATTATAGCTGCTAGACCCCAAGTATTATTATGGGTCGTTGAAATCAGCTCATCAGGGAGAATATCAAAATGAAATAATATATAGGGTGTTCGATAGAAAAAAGTTTACCTTCAGTGTTTTATGGTTTTTGGGGACACCCTGTATGTTTCAAAATAATTTCAAATGGTAGCCTATGTTGACATGCAACTTCCTAGAGAGGAAGAATTCCAAGAAGATAAGTGGTTAGCCTTCTAGAGACCGAGGCGTTACTGGTGACCCACCCTGTATATCAATTCAACTAGGAAAAGATCATTGGACAATGCCCTCACGAAGAGATAACCGTATACACGTGTTTTGGACTTTCGGCCCTCATCAGTATGGTGAAAGGAAGTGAAAAGGATAGACAGCACTTGGGAGAAAACGAAACAACAAATGAACGGGGTCAACCGTTCAAACAGAAGCCAGCCGCACATTTGTGATTTCGGTCAGCAGACCCGGAGGTCTCAGAAAAACAGCTAACGTCCCCACGGAGGTAGCTATAGCTACCTGTGTGATGCTGCGTGACATCCGTGTTCATGCAGGAGTACAAATAATGAGATTCAAGTATTATTGAGGGAACTGTAAAGTGGCTAGTAATAGATTATTGTGGTCACTTTACAGTTCCCTCGATAATATTTGCATTTCATTATTTGTACTCCTGGATACGGATGTCATGCAGGTAGCTAACTGCCTCCGTGGTAACGTTAGCTGTTTCCCTGAGACCTCAGGGTCTGCTGACCGAAATCACAAATGTGCGGTCGTTTTCTACCAAGTGCTGCCTATCTCTCGCACTCCCTTTCACCGTACTGATGAGGGCCGAAAGCCCGAAACACGTGAATACGATTATCTCTTTGTGAGAGCTATGTCCAATGATCTCTTCCTAGTCACTTTACAGTTCCCTCGATAATATTTGCATCTCATTATATCTTTTTAGTTAGGTACTCACAGCAAACGAAGACCAGGAAAGTTCTGGTAGCATACTCAAAAATAGCTTGATGTTCATTCTTCTCCATTCTAGGCTTCAGATATTGAATCCATATTATATCGATGGCAGGGTACATTTGTAGAGAATGAGATATGAAAATAGCAAGAGCCAGCATTATTTTGCATACTTGTGCTGGTCTGAAACGAAAAAAAAAAAGATGAAGTAGAAATTGACGAGCTGATATTTCTTATTTCTAGATACTAATCATCTATTTCTCTTCGTACGACCTGATTACCAGAATTATGTTAGCCAGGAGAAAAAGAGTAAGCATATATGCGTCATACATAACCTGATGCTATAATTTTTTTATGGCAATACGATAGAAACAAAACCATTGCGATTTACATGTTACGGTACATCAAACGATATTGAAATATCTTGTTGAGAAACACAAAAACGATCAATATCTCCAGAGCACTTTGATATGGAGCCGAAATAACTCATTTCTCTCTATATCAACTGAACTGAAAAGCTTTCGAATTGAGTCATCCACTCGAAACTAGATGATTATTTGGCCGATTTCGGTTGGATGTGGGGAACAATGATACAATACTGCTCTCAGATTATCATATGAGTAGTACACCTTTACCGCTATCGATCCCATGATCTGTCTCCATATTTCCCATAGTTTTTCACGTGCGGGACACATGAGGTACGAATATGTGATCACGCCTGGTGCATTTCTCACGTTTTTTGTATTGTATTTTGTTGACGCATATATGAACAATCTATACGTTTGGTATGGTATTAAGGTAGGTATTGCGCTCCCATATTCTCTGTACCGTATCGTCCATGGAAGATAGGGATTACCAACTCTCCTCGCTCAAAGATCAGATTCATCCATATTCTCGATCAATATCCCACAATTCAGGCACCTTCGTTTTGAACTTCGCTGAGAAACTACAGTAGCATCTAGGTGCAAGAAATCATCCATGCGGTTTCTTTTTCAATCAAAATATAAGAAAGCTGGAGTATATGATTCCAACCCGCGACCTTTACATTATCAAGCACACACGTTGCTCCATTGGCCATTGAGTTTCTTGCAGAATCACGTACTAAACATAGCAGCAGGATGATTTGTTGCACCCTTTCTGTAGATTCTAGATTCTACAATATAGGAATAAGGGACGCCTATGGCTTACTATAGCGAGACCTCATCACACTGGAACGATGTCAGCTATTTTTCAAACACTTACAGGCAGAATATGCTAACCTAAGACCTGCCTTAAACCGTCCCAATTCCAAATAGAGATGACTGGTTCCTAAGACCAGATAACTGTTGTTTCATATGTGGTTCAAGATCACCCTGAGCCTCTGGGGCGGGTATATATGGTCGTCAATCTAGGACAGAGATATCAACCTGTCTGGGGTCATTTTTTTTTCGAGGTCGTTGAAATCCTTAACGGACACCATATGGGTCCAATCCCCCATATGATAGTGTGGGAGTCCCCTGACTCCAGGTATACCCACTAAACACTCCACCCCGTTTATAGGCTCGTCTGACCGAAGTCTCCGACGACACTTAGGCCTAGTGGCCCATTGTATCTTACCCACATGCCGCTATCAATTTCACCATATACGACTCATGGTCCTTATTAAGGGCCACTTCAATATGAAAGACTCTTTTCGTTCAGGTTCCTGAAGATTACTCTTCCGATCCCTGTTATCGTCTACGGAGAAGGCCAAAAGTTGTCCTTCTCCTACGAGTGACGGGGAAAGGGGTTGGTCCAGCCCTGTGGTGCCCCCTGCACAGGGCTGAGGCTACTTACTCTGTGATGTCGCCCTGTTTCCCAGAGGCCCCGTTAGCGACACGATACCTCGATGCCATTCACCCATCACCAAGGGTTCCCACAGCTTGGATTAGGTTGCCAGAGCCTCGTTGACCAGACCTCGGCCACCTAGACAGACATTAGCAAATCGCCCCATCCCTGCCACAGATGTCCACAAATTGTCCCATCTGGCCCGGAGATAGCAAAGATGGTCCCAAAATGCTTCATCCGTCGAGCGGCCGCGGTCTGATCTCCCCACACCACTTGATGATGAGGTTGGGCTTGAAGGGGAAGAGGAAAAGAGATGTTGGCCAAGAAAGGCCGATAGATAGATTGAAAAAGGAAGAGAGAAGAGGATATCCCCCAAGACAAGTTGAAGTATGGTGAATATCCGGCTAGGGTACCTCGGGTTCACCATTTCCGTACTCACAAGTTGTGAGCCCCTGAGGGGTGTCTGGGGTCATAGGCAATAACCATATTCCAGGCAGACATTTTCGACATCGATTTATTTGTGGAGATATTAGTGAAATCAACCTGACACATGCAATAATCGAAATATTCTCGGGTAGTCAATCCAACAAATTATATCTGGTCTATATTTCTAGCCACTCCTGTATGGAAGCGAGGTGATGAAATGGCATATTCCCATGCAAGGGAGGGTGCCGTAAATGGTTTCATCGGACCAGAACCTGACGTCTCATCAAGTTTTGCCATACGTATACTGAATACTTGGACTCCAAGAAGAGTTTGAGAATTCTGGCAGACCCAGACAGGTTGCAGATGACAAACTAGGTGATGACATGTTTTTAATTTCATGCTGAAGGATTTGCTGCAACAACTATCGAAGAAAATATGAAAATTTCAGACAGACCTTTGGTTGTGATAACGAAATTCCAATTGTCTTGATTGAAAAAAAAAACAGTTCAAGATGTTCAGACTAAACTATGAATGATAAATATAGTTCCATGAATATTCAGCCTGGTTTTCATTTTCGTATCATTCACATTATGTTTCAAGCAGTATTTATGCGTAGTGAAATGTTACATTAATAGGTACTCAAAATTTGTACTTACATATTAGAACCGATAGTGTATGAAATTGAGCCACCAACTTCACTGCCGAATGCCAAGTAGCCAAAAAGCCCCATTGCTATATACAAGCTCACAATGATGAACATCGCGATGTTGAGAACACCACATGTACGACTGAAATCTCCTGGTGTTTTCATCTCATTTTCCAGGGGCATTATCTGAAAATTATAAAAACCATCAACTCAACTTCGGAAATAGACCTATTGTCCTTTTAATATATATATTGTATCTTGGTCTTGAGAAATCATCCTTTTATCTGGATCGAACAAAATGTTAGTCGACTTCATTTGCTGTTGAATTTTGAAATCATGCAGATTGTCAAACAGTTGTTTATCTGGAAATCTTTCACGAAAGAAGGTAATGAAAAGGAACTTACCACGCCGATAGCTTCCAGTGCAAATAGTACAGTTCCAAAGAACAATGGGTAGTCCAAATAATTTCCGAAAGCTGCCCTCTTCTCTAGATCGATGTCCTGTTGGGTCATATAGTACAAAATGATTCCGAAACTTATCACAGTTATGAAATTGGCAGCGGTTGAGAGGGGCGCCAACAGCTTGAGGTTCTTTACGTAGTTAATGAAAATCAGTGGTAGGAGGAAGATCAACATGATCCATCTAGCATCAAACTCCAAGAAGTTCTCTTTGAGAACGATATGGATGTTTTCGCCTATGAAAACTGTGTAGACAGTGCAGGTACCTAGTTGGTAGATCATCAAGAAAATATTGACGATGTGCCTGAAAAATATAAGTCAGAACATCATCATCAAATATACCTGCATAGGAGTAATAAAGACGAAATGTGTGAATCAGATATTGATAATAACAAATGATTGTGATTGTGTAATTACAAATCAACTGAGAAATCAAGAACTGATTCATTTAAATCAAAATAATATGTATTTTCTAGATTTCTATAGATTTTTTCATTTCTACAAATGAAATATGAATACCATTCAGATATTATGATAATATTGAATAATGATAATAATGATAATGATGATAACGTATCTCAGAGTGGAATGATATTAACATCATAGGAAGAGAATATAACAAAATGAAGTCAGTCAGCTCACATTCTTCTAACCAGAGAAAATACCATTGCTTCCTGTCGTTTAGTTGATATACAGTTCTCAACACATCAAATGGACCACTCATAATTTGACTCTATTCCGAAGACCTTTATTTTTTGAAAAAATGTTCGATATCAGATGTGATGTTTCATCGGCTTCAAAGAGAGCTTGAAAACTCTGGAAAATTCCGCAGAACAAAACTTACACAGGGTGTAAAGTGGAACCATTACACTATGGTCTATATTTCCAATGCTGCCAGAACTCGAGAAATTTTTTTCTGATCAAAAGTCAGTCATATTATGATACACTGGGACCTCATCTCGGGACGTTTTCGTGATTTCTCCTCAATTGGCCATTGGAACAAAAATTCGATTTTTTTCGAAAGTCTTGCATTTCTTGAATTTCTTCTCTAGAACTCCACTTGTGCTGACTATTGGGAAGAACTGTTCTCATGTTTTGTGTTCAATATACTGAGTGTTTCACAACTTATCTGACAAATTTCAATCACTACTACGATATTACATAGGAAGTCTATCACATTAAAATTTTATAGAAGTAGAACGAGATGGAAAATAAAATTTATAACACTTTATATCCACTAAAACTATTCGAAGTGGGCTCTATTGGCGAAATATGACATCAGTGAATTCTTCAGCATTATGAAGATCCAACTAGAAAGTCCTATATCCTAAATTTCAGTACTTGGTAGGGCCTCCCTGTTAACCTGACGAGTACGCACTGATGATGACTTGACAGTCGAAAACGCTCTGCTACGAATATTTTGACTAAATTTCTTGCACGAAATACAAATCTTCCTTTCTTTGGTACAAATAATAGAATCGACAGCTTCCTATATAAAAGCATATCGCGACTTGGTTTATTTGTAGGACTTACAAGCAGTCCTACCCTACCCAATAATTAAGTTGTAATATGTGAATTGTTGAATCAACAGAGGAGATATATAGAATGAGAAAATTCCATCAATATGATGAGACTAGATGGATGTTGTCGAGTGGTGGCCTTGACATGATGATTTGAAGTGGCTATGATAGTACTCGTGATAGTATAATGGTTTTTTGATTACATTGGGCACAACAGCTTTATTTTCCTTGCATTCTCATTATCTCAACTCAAGGATACCTCATTAGACAAAGTATACTGAGATACTGATCATGCACATTTTTTTATGTTCTGGTTTTCACGAAAAGGGATATCCTGTAATGTTCCGAGAACATCGTGAGAACCAAGGGAAATAAGGTAGGAATTGGTGTTCGTCTTGAATTTCTGGAGGCTATATGCTAGCTGGGGAGGCATGCCATGAGGTGTTGAAGATATCCCCACTTGCCGTGAATAAGGAGAAGATGAAGAAAATTCATTTCTTTCTACGGACAGTGTGAGGCATATGGAAGGATGAGATTTGAAATATTTGGGGTAGATAAACTACAACAAAATAAATCAATTGAATTAGAGTGGACGGACATCCTGGCCTTCAATAGAAGGTTGGCAAACCTTCTTGCCTGGGTCCTTTTTGCCTGGCAGCAGTCTTACCACAATACTACCACAACTACTACGTTGATCTGAGACAAAAATATTTTTTCCACAAAGGCTCTCCTGGAACTTTCCGCCATGCAAATGCAAGTTTCCTGCAAACCAGTCTGGGACTGCTTGAAAACTCCTAATGAACTGGACAGTCAAAACAAACTGAGTACCAGTTCATACAGAATACATACGAGGGCAACGAAGAGGTAGATTCACTAGCCCGATCAGAAGCAAGTTTAGTTCTGAATGATCCAGAGCCCTTTCGTAGTATTGCGAAAGCTATACAAAAGACGAGCATCAAATCATGGATGCAAACCAATCTCATGAATGGTGGAACAACTCGCCAGGAATGAGACAGGCAAAGGAGTTTATCGAAAAAAAGCATCGCCAATATTCACAGAATGTCTATTAAGCCAGAAACGAAGTTCAACTAAAATACTAGTGGGGCTTCTCATGGGGAATTGTAGACTCAACAAACAAACGGTAGGTCTGACTGAAGAACTGCTTGGCAGGTTCTGTCAAGAAGAGGAGGAAACAGCAGTACACATTCTTTGCCATTCTGAGGGGTTGTCAAGACTAAGGTTCCTTGAGCTAGGATAGCAAAAATCATGAGCCCAAAGATACACGGGGGATCTTAAAGCTAGCCTATATGAAGTCTCATAGAGAAGTCGGGGCTTGTCAAAGAACGCTAACCGATTTTGAGGGCAGATACAATAGATCTGAGAAGGTCGCGATTCAAAGGCAGGTAACCCAAAGGCCCCATTATAATCTGATCTAATCTAGCCAATTGAGATTATGAACCATTGAAATATATTGATATACTTCGATGTTACTAGGAGAAAAACTAGAAGATTCATTCTTCTGGTGAAAATGGTATTATTCACCTCAATCACATTATATTAGTCAGCGCTTCCCTTCCTCTTGGACGATGCTCTAGGTGGGTGGATTATAATTTGTTCTAAAATTATTATTAACTATTCCAATTCAGATTTGACTATCGAAATAAGCCGTATCTGATGAATGAAATTCAATAAAATCAGATTTATATTAGTATTAGAGTGATATTGATATACAGTGTCCAGTGTACAGTGTCCCATGACAACTTTTTGTGAGACTCAATGTGATGATATTGATTTCTCTTTGTCATAGAACCATTGTAGTTTTTCTATGATACGTCTCATCATGTTTTCAGTTGTTCAGAGATTTTGAAAGCTGTTGTTTGAACCCAGTTTTAGTCATCATCAATGGTTTTCGAACATCCGAATGAAAAAAATGTATCTTTTTATTAGTGATTTTTCATTTTGTGCGTTGTTCTTCAAACACGAGCAGAGCGGCCTTTTATTTTTTGTAGTTGTATTCTTCATAAAATATTATCGTGTTCTTGCTTTTTTTGCAGTGGGTACAACATAATGCACTTTCTTGGTATGTGTGTACGCACCAACTGGCTATTGACATTACGAGAGGTCCTTCAGTACATGTGTGTTATTTGTAGGCTTGTTACTGACTCCATCCGATACCTTAGGCGCTGCATTGTTGATTGGAACGCAACAGTATGAAAATGTATAACTACTTTTTCAAATGAACTTTCTCTGCTCTGTCGAGTTTGATCTAGAAAACTTCTGATGTCCTATTTCACCGTCCCATTTATCAATTATTGAAGTTGTGATTAAACTTTCATCAAACTTTTTTTTCATCATCAAACAACAAAAATCTGAAGTTTCCAAAATGAGCAGGAAAATTCTTATTAGAAAGTCAGTATTGTATCAGACAGTCAGGCTGCTCTTAAAGCACTGAGCTCCAGCAAGATAAATTCCAAGCTTGTATGGAGCTGCATTGAATCCCTAGAAAGCCTGGGTGCTAACAACAGAGTCACTTTGCTGTGGGTGCCTGGACACCAGGGGGTGGAGGGTAACGAGAAAGCCGACATCTTCGCCAAACAGCGAACCGAATCTGTGTTCATAGGACTAGAACCATATTTTGGGGTCACCTCAAGTGCGGCATAAACAACTATCTCGGACTAGGCGGAGGGAAAAACACTCACGTACTGGTCCGAATTACCAGGATTAACCCATTCGAAGGCGTTCCTGCCTAAACCATCGGAAAAAATAACCAGGCAGATCCTAGAATGGAGCAGGGGTAACCTGCTAAGATACCACCTGAGAAGGATGGGTCTGAACCAACAAACGGACTGTCGGTTCTGTTGTGTGGAAGACGAAACGGCTGAACACATATTATGTTCATGCTCTAGCTTAGAAAGACTAAGGTTCGACACATTTGGCTTTACCAACCTAGAACCTATCGATTTCAGACAAATCTCACCCAATTCAACCATGAACTTTGTAAAAAGATGTGGATTGTACGGTGAACTGTAACCTCTAGGGGTGAGCCACAATAGACCCATCTGGGGTCGCAGTGGAGGGGAGGTGTTCGCCCCACTCACATGGAACCTAACCTAACCTATTAGAAAGTCATATAGGATATTGGGGGCCAGTAATTTTGCTCGGGCCTTGGGCTCAACTGAATCAAAAATAGGCCCTGATTATAATAGGTATACTAATTTTCACTTACGGTGCAAAGGGTGCTACTTTTTGGAGCAACGGAGGCCCATCTTCCAACGCACACTCTGCCGTCTTCGGATACGTCATGCTGGGCACTTTCCTACGTTTGCACATCACGTACTCGCAGTCAAGCAGCAGGTGGACCGAATAGGTGCACAGGAAGCCTATGAAGGCCGTGCCCAGCACGCCCAGCAGGTACCCTGAGTGGTAGAAGGCCAACGGCATGGCCAGGATGCCCGTTCCGAGGCTGCCTTTGAGGAGGTGCAGCATCGTTTCAGCATTACTGAAAAAAAAGAAAAGTGTTCTCAATCAATCAATCAATCAATCAAAATATGCTTTATTGTCCGAAGACTTATATCTCATTGACAAAGTCGTAAAAATTTTTACATTTATAAAATATAAAGTAGTTACACATAAAATCAAATATATACATATGAATAAACTAACAAGCTAAAACGAACTATACATAGACGAGACACATTACATATGTCATCAAGAACGAGAAGTACTACTATCTACTAGTTTGATATAGATATTCCTGAATATCATAAAATGCGTCTTCTACAAGAATCAACTTCACCGAATGTCTGAAAAAATCAACTGATCCTATGTCCTTAACACTGGACGGAAGATGGTTATAAAGCTTAACGCAGCATTATATATTATTGAGTTTTTTATCAAATTTGAAGAAGCAATAGGAAGCATCAAATTGCTATTTTGACGGGTGGATCCAACAATGGTATCATATGTTGATTTATTTTAATGTATCAAACATACTGTTTCAAAAATGTACAAGGATGGGAGAGTGAAGATCTTATGCTTCTTGAATAACCCTTTGCAAAGATAACGAACAGCTCGCTTCTGAAGGGTGAAAATCATGTTGAAGTGCTGTTTGTTGCATGTTCCCCAGAAAGATATGCCATACCTGGCATGTGACTCGAATAATGCATAGTAAACAATTTTGGCAGTTGTCATGTCCAATTCATTCGAGACCATACGCAAGGCAAAGCAACTAGGAGATAACTTTTTGCTAAGTTCAAAAACATGATTTTGAAAGTTTAATTTAGTGTCTACTTGAATTCCTAAAAATTTGTTGACATTGCGAGATGAGATAAAATTGTTTCCTAAAGGTATATCGGGTATATTGCACTGAAAAGATGAGAGAAAAGATTTTTTTATATTGAATGAGAGCAAGTTCGAGTTACACCAATCTCGTACTATGGAAATATCCCTAGACATTTTATCATGAAGATTATTTACATTCTTATCATGCCATAAGATAGTGGTGTCATCTGCGAAAATAGTGAAAGATCCCTCAATATTGATATTTACGAGATCGTTAAAATATAGCAAGAATAGGATAGGTCCAAGAATAGAACCCTGTGGTACACCGTGCTTAATGTGCCCAATACCTGAGAGACTGTCAATTTTCACAATTTGAGATCTGTGATTTAAATACGATTTAAACCAATTTACAGTTTGATCTCTAGAGCCGTAGTGTTGGAGCTTGCGCAGCAGTATTTCATGATTAACACAGTCGAACGCTTTTGACAGATCACAAAATACTGCAGCGCTTGCTTCTTTCAGGTTTAGTTTGGAGGAAAGATCCCTGAGGAAGTTGAAAATTGCATCCATTGTACTTTTCTTTGATTGAAACCCGAACTGATTGGGATGCAGAATTTTGTGAAGGGTTAAAAAGTCTAACAATCGAATTTTAACCAATTTTTCTATAATTTTCCCAAGAGTTGGAGCGAGTGAAATTGGGCGGAAATTTGATGGGTCGGAGGGATCACCACCTTTAAAGAGACTAGGTAATCCCCATCCTTGCAAACATGAACATAATACATTTCTCACAATTGTTCTTTACTGGCCGTACCTGATCAAAAAACATCTATTTAGGTATTCTCTGCCATGATCATCTAATTCTATGCAAGTATCGATGTGGAGAAGGATCAATCAACATTCGCTTATAATGTTTTGTTGTATACTGACATATACTTAAGTCTTCTGTAGAGTAATGAGGAGGTTTTTTATTTTTTCACCATTTTATTTTTCCTCCACCCTCTGAGAAACCCTTCCCACTCTGATCAGCGAGATTACCTGTATAAAGGGCCTAGCCCTAGGAGATAGGTCACTGTGTCGAACACCTCACATATCCTCTCATATTCCTTGGCTAACACCAGCCACATCTGCGTCAGTGGAGGGACGTTCAGGCATACTCTCAGCTATGCCAAATCCACCACACTCAAATATGTTAGAAATATGTGTTGTATTGTGAAAAACTTCGAGGATGAATAAATGAATTTGATACGAATTTGATGCATCTGCACGGTAATGTTGGGTTCCGCCTATCTAGATAAAATACAAGCTGGAATTCTTCCACGGATATCCAGATGTTTTTCAAGGCCATTAACAAGATATCCTCTGGGGTGTTCATTAGGCATTGGTTACTTATGACCACGAGTTATCATTTAGAATTATTCATGAGAAATCATCATATTGTGCGAAGTTTTATTATATCAGAGGAATAAAAACAATAGGATTAAACATACTTTCATGAATGAACACATACAAAAATGATGAAATCATATAAAAGATAAATCGCGAGGTAAATATTCCTATTGAATTTGGAAGTATACTGAAATAAATTTATCTTAGGAAAAAACTATGGAATAAAATACAATGCACTCCAGTTATTTGAAAAGAACTTCAATGACGTCTCATCAATTTGAAGTCACTTCGGATATTTCATGGTCATCCGTAGAATATATTTTAACGAATATCCATTTCAATATCATGAATTTATATCATATGGTTGTTCATCTAAAGTCCCTAAACTTAACTCACGATAAGTACCTGAGTATATTTCGGAAGATATTCAACTTGTATACGATACATACAGGGTTCTTTCGATTTCATAGGGACAGTAATGCTATTTCATAAATGGTAAGATATAAAGTTGATAGAGATATCTTAACTTTTTATGTACCTTCGACACCCTGTATCTCAGTGAGGATGCATTTTGCGACATATATACGTTGATAGGAACTTTTCACCTCAAAATGAGGTGATAAATCCGTGAATGAAGTTTTTCGGTCTTATTCTGACTCACCCTGTATATTATCGTAACTTCTATGCTTCTTGAAACGACCGCATTGATAATATTAGTATTGATTAAATGATTGCGTTGAATCAAACGGTTGATTGAAGTATGGGAAATTCACAAACTTGTGAAATAAGCACGTGCAATCAATCATTGTTTCAAACGAAGCTAGTCATTGAACGATAATATATGATTATATTTATTTATGATTGAAATACATGATACAGAATAAATGAGTATGTAGGTACTTGGGCTGAGTGATTGATCCCAAGATAAATCTGCGGTGTGATTGATGCTCTCAATTTGTTTGTAAATTTTTATGTGATCAAAACAGCCGCCTGCATTATCGAATGATCATATTTTGCTTTCGTATTTTGAAAGATCACGAAACATAGAATCAAAGAGTGTTCTTCAAATTTAAGCTCATTTAATTTCAGTATCATGCACAATTTTGAACTTGGAGTTTTTGTTATTTGGTGAGTTTATTAGAGTGAAAAGGATTGCTGTATTGAATTATGAGAATATTCTATAATATTATTAAAGACAAAAAACTAGAAGTATGACTAAAAAAATTCCATGAATTTGTTTTTTTTTGCATCGAATAGTTATTGGCTGCATTCTGATAACTTCAAAACACTCCGCTATGTTTTTACAGGTCCGCACTCAAATGTCTACAACATATATTTTCAAACGCCTTGTATATTTTTCATATTTGAAATTGGCTCAATTCTGAAATTCACAGGGGGTATATAATAAATGGTAGCGCAATTTACGAACTTAACGACAATTTTTTTCAACCACCTGTTTGACCAGAAGTAACCCCAACTAACAAATGTCTGCAGGTGGTCAATAGTTTGTTTGAGTCAATATGAAAACCTTCGAAAATAACTCATGATATTGAGGAATCTAAGATAGGAACATATTTTTCCGAACTCAGCTACTCGTACAGAAACTATCTGTCTTTTATTTTCTCCATGTACCTATCACATGATCTTTCCATTTGGAATAATAAAACTAAAATTGTCCCTCTTATACGATTGCATCAATAATTTTTCTTCTCCATTTGTGTGTTGATTAAAATTGCATATTATCAATAGAGACGGAAAATGTATTCAAGAAACGAAAAAGTCGATATGTTGTTAATATGCAATTTTAATCAACATACAAATGGAGAAAAAAATTATTGATGCAATCGATTAACTGTCCAACACATAAAACATTTTGTGTAGGTATACCGCCTACTAAGTCAAATAATTATGAAAAAATAGACTGATAGCCCTGTGGATCATCGTATAAGAGGAACAATTTTAGTTCTATTATTCCAAATGGGAAGATCATGTGATAGGTATGTACATGGCGAAAATAAAAGACAGATAGTTTCTGTACGGCGAGTAGTTGAATTCGAGATTCCTCAATATCATGAGTTATTTTCGAAGGTTTTCATCTTGACTCAAACAAGCTATTGACAACCTGCAGACATTGATCAGAATATCAAAACATTTTGAATAATATCGGTTTACTAATGATCTTTAAATTTCAAAGCCTATATACCAAGTGTTGATATATCATCGAATGCATGTCACAGCCAACTTATTCTTTTTGTATAAAAAGCAATTCAACAGCGAATTAAGAAATAAATGCCACTTTGTGATACATGGTTGGATAGGGAATTTCAAGGCGAAAAAGACAGACTAAAGAAATGTACAGGGTGACATATAAAAAAAAAAGTTGGGGTCACTTCTGGTCAAACAGGTGGTTGAAAGAAATTGTCGTCAAGTTCTTAAAGTGCGCTACCATTTATTATATACCCCCTGTGAATTTCGAAATTTTATCTCTCCAAATAAAAAAACTACAGGCTGCTACATGTCTCCTGTGTCACCCGGTATAAGTATATCTGAGAATATTCCTTTTCAATAGTGGAGATGACTTTGAGCTTTCCTTCTTCCTTTTGAAAAATTCCATTCCACTTGGAGCAAACATGGACTTCTACGAGAGATTATACCTTGTATAATCTTTTTTATTTCAATAATAAGGGCCATGTCTGTTTGCATAGGACTATTTTCTAACTTTCGGTCGGAATATTTTGTAATGTGAAGAGAAACAAACCACAAATTCACCTAGATAAACATGATGATAATTGAATAAGGCATGATATTTCGAAAAATTCCAATCAAACATGT